GCGGTTTGGGATGACAAGTTCAGTGTCCCTTTTATTACGTGCTATAATTTATTAATATTATGTATAAATTAAGAGTTAATGAATCACTAATTCGTAGTAGCATTTGAAACGGATTAGTTTCATCACAGCATTAGTCAAAACAATATATTGGCACGATCAGCTGGCCGTGTTTACAGTATCGGGTGTCGAGGAAATTATGTAATTGACCTACTTTACTTTCTCAGAAGTATTATTTGAGGCAGTATCGTCTTACAATGTTAGCCATAGGCAATAAGTAGCTGCGTTTTAGATAAATATTTTATATACGTACTTATAAAGGGAATATTCTCACCGCTGCAATAGGGATGTTGCCTGGGTAAAGCAAGAGTTTTAATTAGTCCGTCAGTTAGCTTATTGAAAACTACTCAACACGTATTTTTCACTTTTTAAAATTAATGAAAATGTAAAGAGATAAAGCGTGTCAAAGTTCTAAAGAAAAGGCTCGTGACGTCAGTGAGTGCGTAAAAGTGCAGCACTTTGTGACGTCGCGCGGAATTTCGTAATTATTTGTTTGATTGACAATTATTAAAAATATACATGTCCAATATTTTTTTATACTAAAATTGACGGACTAAAATTTTTTTTTAAGGTAACTAGCCTATTCCTGTGTGTACCCAAACAGTGAAGGTCAAGTTTGCCCTGGAGGAAAGTTAAACTGTCATTGAACCTGCAACGAAATTAATCAGAAGAACATAGGAGGAGTTCGAAGTTTCTTACCTATAGTTCCGTTAACTTTATAAATAATATTCAAAGAGCATATTAACACAGAGGAAAAAAGTTTAATATTGTCTCTATTGTAAAAATTTGGGAGAGATTTTTTATCAAGATGTTATCTATCAAAATATTTGTAACAAAAACGGCTCTGTTTATAATAAACAAACAATTCGTTTGTATTGATAAGTTCAAATACGCCGATGTGGTACCTAATCGCGGGAAAAGATAAGAGATGGAATAAAACTAATACGACACTATGTGTTAATGAGGAAAAATACTGACACGATTAGAGATTTCATCTAAACAAAGATGTTTTTTTATTTGCTTCTTTTTTATTATGTTTCTTACTGTGTTCCATCAAAATTAGTTCGATATTTTTTCTGTGATAGAGTAACGAAAATCATTATGACAAACTTTTGTGTATTCTCGTATTTATTTACGTATTAGGTCTACGTGTACCAGAAGTGTACAGTGCAGTCTGTCACAGTATGTATTCTTACCAAAATCTCAACTTCCGCCCCCTCTTTCATCCCTTATCTAAATATACGAGTATGTATATGTATAACTCAAAGGTGACTGATTGACTGTCTGTCTAACTGACATAGTGATCTATCAACGCACAGCCCAAACCAATGGACGGATCGGGCTGAAATTTGGTATGCAGGTAGATGTTATGACGTAGGCATCCACTAAGAAAGGATTTTACGAAACTCCACCCCTAAGGGGGTAAAACGGAATCCACGCGTACGAAGTCGCGGGCGGCCGCTAGTTTGTCTTAATAAAGTTCGTTACTATTATTTCAACAGTATAGGACTATTTAATTTAAAAAGCCAATTTTAGCTATCTCCCAAGGTCTAGTTCAAACGCCAACAAAACACAACATTACATAATCGCAAGCGCATCGTACAGTCGCCCGCCCGTCAGACTACAATGTTTTTGCAAAATAGCCTCTATTACAACAGCAATAGAAGCCACAGCGTTTATTTCGATGTGATGCGTGTACAATAAAGCGATCCCACTTGCCACTCGATCCAATTGCGTACAAATTGCTACAATTGGTGTTATAAACACGCGCCATAGTTTGTACACGACTGTTTTGTAGAGAGTGCCGGACGCGGGTTCCAATCTTGTGAGGTGCAGTTAAAAGAATGTATTTAGTTAGTAATTTGTAGATAATAATATGCTTTATTAACATATAAAAAAATATTAGTAAATTGTTGTTTTCTAATTAATAATTAGCATTTAATTTTCTTTGCGTCAAAGAGTACTCTTAGCTAGCATTATTAACTTGTTCTTCAAAGCTCAAACTCTTTCCTCAAACTTCAGTCGGTTTAAGTATGAAAAGTTTTCACTGAAAACATGCAGTCGAATTGAAAACCTTTTTTGAAGTCGATTAAAAACGTAACAGACAGACAGAATCACATTTGCTTTATAAAACTGTAAAAGATCTAGGCATGTTTTCTCTGTTTCAAAAATACTAGTTCTGCTCGGCGTGGGGCTAGCGCCATATGATTGTTGTAATTGCTGAATGCCAGGGTTTAATTGAGTTCCTACGTACTCAGGGTTTCGTATATTTTTGTAGAACTTAATGATTACTTAATCTACAATGAATTTCCAAGGTTTTCTTTGGAAGAGAATTGGCTACCCATTTTAAGTCAAATCAAATATTGCATCAAATCGATAGCAAGAACTTACTATTAGAAACAGAGCATGAGGCACCAATTTTTTTTAAAGAATTTTAGTATTTTTCTATTTACAAATTTCCAATAATCCCGTTAACCCCTCTTGGTAAGCTACTCGTAAATGTTACGAGTGGGTTCACCACAATAGTAATTCTTGAATTTAACACTTTTTTGTTACTTGTAACCTACCTATACTCTAATAGGTTAACATAGAAAACTTCTGTTCTTCGATTTGCCACAGCCACACGTGAATGACCTACATTCGGTCCGTTCTAATACCGCTCTTACGGAACCCTAAAACGCTTCTGTTTTGACACAAACTCCGCATATGGAGTAAATCGTTTGCAGTCCATCTATAAATAATATCGGAACACTCGAAAAAAGCCCGGTCATCGACCGTATACAGGGTGGAAACGATAAGATCTCATTTGATTATTTCAAAACTTTAAAAGTTATCGGAAAACTGGTTACTGATCCTGAAAGTGCTTAACGACTTTCACGAGCTCTATCAAACGGTATTAATAAATAGATTACATAGTAAACTGAATCTGTCCGAAAATTCAAATCAACTTGAAAAGACAGGTGACTGTATCAAATGTATGAAAGCTGGAAACATTGAATCTTCGAATAGATCCAGTTAATTCTGTAACCAATTATTGATACATTTGATAGAGCTCGTGAAGCACTTTCAGGATCAGTAACTAGTTTTTCGATATCTTGTATAGTTAAGAAATAATCCAGTGAGATCTTTTATCGTTTCCACCCTGTATACCCGTACGTATACTTGACTTTGTTTGTTTGTTCGCCCGCTCGAAAGTAACGGTCGGATTATTAATTTATTGCTTGATTAAAATAAGACGCTGTTTTATGTGGGTTTCGTTTATTACGAGCTTGTTTGATGTGTGTAATTTCATTTAAAAGGTGATTCTTCATCTTTGACGAGTGGCAGAGTATAAGTTTAGTGTTTTACTTGGTCAGTGCCTTCCCCATAGACTATCGACTTTTTGGTGGCGGCTTCCAATTTGTATGAGGAATCGATGGATACTTGAAAAACCGGTGTAATGTGGCCCACTTTCATACATGTTCATACTAATTATCATATCGAACAAACTATCAGACTACAAGAGTCCTCGGGGTCTTAGAGTCTCTGTAGAGTACAGACAAAAGTATGTAAGCCGATTATTAAGTATAGTAGTTATTAAGTATATTAAGTATAGTAGTAAGTAGTATTCGAGTATTAAGTTAGTAGCCGATATTTTAATCAGGCTATTAATCAGAATGATACTTATACAAATTAGGAAGCTAAACAAACTATCGGCCAATAAAAAGTCTGTGTAGTCTGTGGAGACTCTACATCATGTTTTTCCAAGCCGTTATAAGCGATTGTAAAATTAGATTGCTTTTCTCTAAAGTTACATTTATTGCGTGTCGTGGGTCGAATCTTTCAGAAAGCCAGTATTGACAGTTAAAAAGGGCCCGAAACGCATTTTTCCACACTTCAAATTTTTCAAAATGCAATGTGCATAGGACTATAACAGTTTTCTACTATGATACCTACAGAGTCCTATTTTCAAAAGAAACTCTATTTTCTCCAATCGGCTCTTTGTTAATATTCCAGGTAACATAAATAAATGTTACTTTCAGATGAGCATAAATAATAAACATTCGGATTCTCAAAGTCAAAGGTTGTTTCAAGGAGTCTTTGTTGAAACGTTCCACTTAGATTTGAAATACAGAGAGTATGATTGCTTTGTTGAAATTGTAATGAATGCGTTGGCAGTCTACGAGTACTTACTTGTTGTAGAGTCGGGATATCTTAATTTTTGAATTGTAAAAAAATACTACATTAGGGTTTTCCAACCATCCGTCCGTTTCAAAATGAGAGTGTTGGAGTCATTTGTCTTTTTCATGATTCCCCTTCATCTATGGAGTAAGTTTTCTCTATGTGTTGTTTTTACGAGAACGTTACGATGTTTTGTTAAAAACTCATTTAATAAATGTCCCACCTTTTCTTTCTGTTTTATCTATATCGCGCTGTGACGTTCCACAATACACGCTATTTACACTACCACTGCGTCCCACTGCTGGGCAAAGGTGTCACATTCCAAATCCTGGTTCAAGACCAACGTTTTTCACATTAAGGGCAATGTAAATGAAACAATTAATCTTATTTTATTTAATTATCGTATAATTCAGTTAAAACTTATGATACATTATTAACTATTCGACACATATACCGTTAAGTGCAATGCCTAAAAAATCATTGTTATAAGTGAGTATTAATTCAAAATTAAGTAATTTTAAATGTATTTTATGTTAAAGTTTCCTTTTTTTTCACCTTATTTCTTTTGTCTTTTAGTAAAGAGAGAGACTTATAAGTAGGTAATTGTAACAATCTAATAAAATAGTATAACATAATACACAGAAATAGTCATTTACTTCCATAAAATTTAATCCTACTAATATTATAAATGCGAAAGATGTCTGGATGTTTGTGACTTTTTCACGCAAAAACTACAGAACGGATTTTAATGAAACTTTACAGTATTATTGTTTATAACCCAGAATAACATATTATAGGCTATAATTTATGACGATCTGTGACTAACGAAATTTCACGCAGGTGAAGCCGCGGGCAAAATAAAACATATTTCATTTCTTATAGTTTGTCTCTACATACGAAGTCAAAAGTGGCTCGTAACATCGTTGCCTTGCACAACTGTTGTGGGATACTTCTTGAAGTTCCATCCAAAACTTCTCTGAGTTCCATTTCTGCTGAAACTCGGAGTCGACGGTATCGACTCGGTAGGCTGAGACGAGTCTTCATTGTACAGTTCAGTAGGGGTAGGGGACATGTAAGTAGGGGAAGGGGACATGTAAGTAGGGGAAGGGGACAAGTAAGTAGGGGTAGAGACAACCTGGTCGGAAGACTTGATGTCCTCTTCGAAGCATTTGAGCCGGCTGGCGCTGCAGAGAGGCGTCGGGACTTGTTCCACAGTGTCTAGTTCGTCCACGTTGATGATGTAGGATTCTTTCTTTTTGGAGTATCTGCAATTAATATGGAGTCATTTTGAGTGAGGTGTAGAATTTGTAGGGAATTTAAAGTGCTATTTTTAGAGTCGTGAAGAGTTAGGGCCCTCGCTCACGGCGATTTTTTGTAGCGATGCAGTCGCGCTGCTGTAGCGTGTTAGTAGCGCGTTGGCATCACTTCTGTAGTGCGTTGCAAATGCGACTAACGCAATTTAGTCGCCAAAAGTCGCCGTGGGCGTGGACGAGGGCCCTTAGAGTCTGAGTCTCCATAAAATCTTATTGATAACTTTTTACAGTGCAAGTTATAAATGCAACTCGTCTTGTATAGCCTGACCAGGAACATAAAAACCCTGGCATAGAGGCGCGTCAATTGCGTTTGATAGTGCAACACTGAGTACAGTCGTACCTGTGTTAAAATTAATAGGCTAACTTTATGTATCAGGATTAAGGATTACGGGCTAATTTGATATTTTCATAAATTAACGAATTTAAGATTATATTATAGGTAACCTGGTTTAAATAAATTAAATGAAACCATCAATCGAACTAGTAGGATTTATTTATTATTCATCAATAATCAAATTCGCAACTTGAATATTCAACTGCAATGTCTGCTCATGAACGCTTCAAACTCTGTTGGTACTTCTTTCCCAATCAATTTCTTAAAATTCAACACTGTAAGTGACAAAAAACTTTAAAATAGGTAGTTGAAACAAACCACAGCTAATTTTCATAGTGGACTGTACTACACGATAAACATGTCAGTCAATTTGACAACCTTTGTCGGAAACATTATTCAATGAAAATATTGTCCGAACCCTTAGTATTTTTCTTCGACAAATACTTTAACACATTGTGAACCACTTTTCTTTCACGTCTATAAAAAGTTTTTAGCAATTTAATTCACAAAATCAATTGCACACATTTAAAATACAGTTTGTTTACACTTTGACAGCAATAGACAGTTTAATATTGACATGCAAGGTGACACGTCAATGAAGTTTTCAGTTAATGTTGCCATTAAAAGAAATTAGTACCATTAGTTTTCCGCAACATGGCGAGGGTTTTTATGTTCCTGGTCAGGCTATAGTATCTTTTTTTTACTTTGTTGACAGTCATGTTACTTACGTTAATACATTTTTGAATCTGTATCCCCAAATGATTTCTTTGGACAAGTAGGACGTCCTGCTCTGCGTGACTGTGCCCATGTTCTTCGAAGATCCAGTTAGGCACACCACTATTTCGAATCTGCAACAGTTAACAAGAAGTTATGAAAACTGTAAGATTCTAAGATGACACTCAAAAATCGATTTGATCTTCAATATTTTTGCGACAGACGATAGCCTTCTTTTTCAAATGAACTAATCGAAGGTAGTTCATCGATTAAATAAAGTACGGATTAAGGCAAGGAAATGTAACAGACAAACTAGAGTTCCTATTTTCTAATAGGTATTAGTGACGATAGTATTATTACTTTACTATTCTTTAAATTAGTTCCTATTACTCGTACAATAGTAGTTATTCTGTGGTACTACACTCATAACGGGGAGGTTTAAAATGTAGACTATGTCACGCTGAAGTTGGACGTTTTTGTAGTTATTGAAAAATGTCCTCTTTCTCTTACTACAGGTCCAAAAGTGACGTCTTTCTCTTTCACATTCCCCTAGACTCCTCACATTACCTATAGTCCATCATGTCCTCAGCCGAGAACTCGTACAGGGGGCTGTCTGCGTCTATGACGTGAACCACCGTGATGGGCCACAGTAAGAACGCAGTTGCATTCTTCAGCTTCAGCTGGTGAATGTAGTTGTGCACCAGCTCGCCTTCCAATGTCCTGGGATGATAGGGACTTTATTAGTCTACTTGATTTATTCTAAAGCTAAGACTTTGTAGGGCTATAATGAGGTTGAAGATTGTCTTAAGATAAAAATGTGTGCGATTCAAGCAAGTCCTATGTCCAAGTCCAAGCACCGGTACGTTATGTACCTACTCGTAAATGTGATATTTTGAAAAATATGCTGAAAAAAGTGTACTCCACAAAAACTAGCAGCAACTTGAAGACTTGACTTTAGGAGAGAACTGAATCATGGCTGATATAAATAATGTACGTCATTACTTACCGAATGGGCTTCAGTATATACGCGGTGATGGAACTGCTGATGATGTGCAGGTTTAGAAGGTCCCACACCCGGAACTGAAGGCAGAGCTCACCGTCACGGAGGCATACCTGATGAAGATGAATAAATAATCTTTATTTCAAAAGTTTACATGTAAACAGTAGATAAAGTGACTGACTGACTAGGGTTGCCTGTGTTATGGGATCCAATCTCTTTTATGTGAGTAAGAGTAATATACGTACGTAAAAGTGCTTTTTTAAAGCCTATTTACAGAAATAAATGAGTTTTATGAGATTTTTATGAGTTTTATACAAAATTATTTGATCTGTGTTCCACCTTTTCCAAGACCAGAACTTCCAGTTCGAGAGAGTCTCATACCAAGCCACCGAACACAGACGTTTTTCGTAAGAAATTATAAGGTGCTCACCGTAGCTTTCTTGCTGAACCCAACCGATGAGACGTGTCTGTTGGGCCGCACCAGCTTTGTGTACAGTAAACTGACTAGACCGCCCGAGAGAGCTGTCCCGGCTACTATCTGGAATTACATTGGAAAATAAATTAAAAACACTAGTGAATCCGGACCGGCTTTTGAGTAATAAACGTCCTCTTTAATTGCTCTATCTATTGCTGAAAATTGCATTAAAATCAGTTGCGTAGTAATAGATCTAAACGTACAGATAGGAGTATTGTTGTATACTGCGAGCATGTAAAGGTTAAAATCATTAATTTTTTGAGATTTCGATGTTGATACCATACAAAGTGCTGTTTCATTTGAGCCCTAGAAAAACCCCTTTTCGGATCGAATGGAGATTATTACATGGTGTATTATTTGCATTAATTTAGCACTTCCTTTCTGTTAATAGGCAGCCATAGATCAATAAACTCTACATAGGCTCCTTCCTTTGACCTCCATAGGGAACAATCCCCTGGCGTGTAGCACGTGTATATGCCATGCATCATGGTAATGTGGTAAAGGTAATGCACACCAACTACGAAGTTCCTAATGCGTTTTATATTATTTGTGAATGTTAGTAATTTAATTCTTCCGTCCGTAAATTGATCATAATTTATGAACCGACAAAGACGTCTGACGTGGTTGAATCAGACCGACAGCTTAAGGTGCCCTCATGATCACACGAGTCTTTCTTTAATCGGCTTGACTTTCTGGCATGTTCTTCTGTCTGCAACGTTATTTGAACTGGGACTTCATTAAGTCATTTTAAACTATGTACCTGTAAACGAAAATCAGAAAGTTTGAAAAGAAACAACACTGGACCATGGATACACCTTACAGTAGAATAGATCGGTTCTTGTAGTAGTTATGAAATTTTTACTACGTCATCTTATTAAATTCATATTTACCTCTAGAACCATGACTATTATAGCTTCAGGACATTCTTCATTGGGAAATCGGACACCATAGCCGATTGTCATCTGGAAAGTAAAAAAAAATGTTTCATTGGATTGGATTATTTATTCAAAATTAAAAACTTTTAAGGAATCAGGCCTAGCATCATGTGCTCTTCTCACTTGCTCGTACTTTGGGTAACCTTGAGCCTTCTTATGAGGTCCAGAGTAAGTGACCACGTCTCCGTTTTCGTATGCCATTACTGGCAACTCACAGTGGTCAAAGACTTTTGTCCTGAGATACCGGTATTTTTCGCGAAGTTTCCCGCCTTCTTCTTTGCCTGGTGCTTTCTTATTTTACTTGAGTTCGGCCCTCTGTATTGCTTAATTTTTTTTCTGATTTAGCGGTTTAAATAAATTTTTCTAACTACCTGAGTTTCCACGGACATCATCAAGAGCCCCGCAAAGGACGAAGTCCCGGTCACGCAGTGTTCCTTCCCGTCTCCAATGTCTTCCTGGTAGGAGTTGGCCACCGCGTACCAGATGCCGGCGAACGTGAACCAGAATACAAAGTGTAGGAGCACCATCATGAGGAGCAGGAACCGCCATTTGCTGTTGATCTGTGGAATAGAACAGATACTGAGAATGCTGTAGATAGAAAGCAATTCTCAAGTGGCGACCAGAAGACGTAGTGTAGGCAGGCCTACCACTCGAAGGACGTACGATCTGGTGAAGGTCGTGGGAAGCACCTCTAGAAGTGGGGAGCGTCGGACCAGTCGTTTTTGGAATTCGTTGGCCATTAAATATTTTTTGTGAACTTCAATCTTGAATAATAGTTTTTGCAGATGTCGGATCATTAAAAACTTCGCATTTCATTAATAACGGTGTTCTTAAATATTCATACTCAGCTCCATGCATATTTTTTTGAGCTAACTTGAACTTCACTCGTAAGCTCACGACTGTATTAACGATGACCTACTTGATGGACGTGGCGGAAACGTTGCTGCGCTTGTTCGGTTTTGAAAATGCTCCTTATATCTTTTGAATTCTACATAGAGTAGGTAATGAGAATAAGCTACAATAATGTATGTTGTGCTGAGGATATTCTCATGTAGTATCTCATGTAGCCAAGTGTTCTTCATTTTCCTTTCAGGGCTGGATGTCTCCTCATCCTTCGACTGGAAAGAGTGGTCTCATAACTAATTGTAGGGAATACTTACGACTGTGTTGACGATGTCTCGCATGTACTTGATGGACTTGGCGGGTATATTGCTGCGCACGGGCACGTTTTCGTCGCCGTTCTTGTGGACCACGCGTCGCGAGCGCACCGGCCGGCCGCGCTTGCGTCTGTTACGGGAGAAAGGAATAGTGGTTGAGTACCTTAGGAATAATGCAAGGAATAGGGGCATCTAAATGAAAAAAATCACCGTGATTTGTTACCGAAAGCATAATATGAATTTTCTAATTCCAAAACGCAGCAATAGCAATATTATTGTTGATTTTTATACAAAAGAAGTTTCTTTTTCTACAACAAAAGATCTTTTTCCTAGGATCCGCTCGCTTGCTTTCATTCACTCTCTCTCAAGCTTTAGTCGTAAACAAACGAAGTACGTTCGCATTTTTTAAAATAATAATTTCATGAATTCATAGTGAAATAATTCATACAAATTTGGTTCCACTTTGTTACAGAGGTTAGGTATCCCTTACAAACCAGAGAGTTCGGTATATTGTACCGCCGGGTAAATTGTACCACCCTCATATTTCGTAAAGTATTTATTGAATGTCTGTAATTGCAACACTCAGCGATACACAACTAAATTCAATTAATATCGGCCATGTGTTTTTTGCCGTGACAACAAACACGTGTGTTTTATTTTGAAAAGTATTTTTTCATTGTTTTCAAGTAACTTTTGACAATGCATGTTTAGTTTGTAATTTTGTTAAATTGAATCACAGGGTGTTTCTAATATATTATTTAGAAGCGTAAATTAGTGCGGATTACAATTATTTGAAACATTTTCCGGTATTTATAAGCTATATTTTTTACCGATTTTTTAAAAGCACTATCACCTAGTCGGCTAAATTGTACCACATCAAGTTGTATGGAACTTTACCAAAGGATTTTGAATTTTTTTTAGTAAATCATATTTTGAAGTTATAATAGCGTAATTATGTTTGACTAACAATAAATGAAAGCAAAATACTGGCAAAGTAGATTAGGTACAAGTGTGCGTTACGATAATTGGAATTACAAAACTTGTACTCAAAATCGTGATAACGTGTAAAACAATATCGATTGTCTATGTTATTAACTACTGTTCCTTTTCGTTTCCTAATTTGTTAAGAATGTATCGTATAATATTTTGCCATAGTTTTTTTATAGGCTTGAAATTTATTGAAATCCAATTTAGTAACCCTGTGGTACAAATTATCGAACCGGTTGGCTAAATTGGACCGAAGCTCTGAGCTCGTATTTTGTTGATTTGTGCTAAATATACAACAATCATGTTAATTAATACTTATGAAATAGTAAGTTGAATAATTTATCTTTTATTATATACCATGGACATTAGCAAAAACAAAAGAAAACTATGTGTAAAATGGGATTGAAAAAAACTGGTCCAAATTAGCGGACTCTCCCTTATCTAATTGTTTGTGAGTTAATAGACATTCAATATGAATGAGATAAACCACAATTTTCACTTTGTCCTCAACCTGAAAACTGTAGGTAGATGCAGGCTCATCTATCATTCTGAAGGCCGCGAAAAGTAATGTGAAACAGCAATAGATACTAAGCCCACATCAATCTGTCATATTTTATCGATTTCGTCGAAACCAAAGTGATAAATTTTATTTATCTTAATGAGTCAGCTTCAATCGTACTTTTGAATAAGAACGATGGAATTTAAATGTGAGATAATATCTGTTTCTCTCTACTTTTATTTTAGCAGGTTTTGTTCTGATAACAGTTTATTTATGTATGCGAAAGTAGCTGTCTTGTCTGTTTGCTTATGCCATTGTAACGTCCCAAAACTTCAGTCATTTTTGTTGATTTACTCTATCCTTAAACAATAAATTCAATCTAATTATCCAATGGTATGCAAATCTTTATTTATGATCTTGGTATAAAATCTATGTCCGTATTCACAAACATTACTATGAGGTCTCACAGTGTGCGTGGACGTACAGGGTGACACACGAATCAATAGTAGCTCTATTCAATGCTGTGCGTTCGATTTGCTGCTTTACTTAAGCAAGCATCGTTTGTGAATACGGGCGTTAGTCTAGTGCTAAACTTAAGTTTAGCAATTGTAAATGATCCTCGTTAGAAACTTACCTATGCCTAGTACCTTTCTTTGACCTCTTTGTGTATGGAGCCGAATACGTATACGCTGAAGGTCCAGTAGTGTCCGTCGTGCCTATGGTGCTATACATATCATTGTCATTTCCAATATCGCGCTCTATCTTATCGTAAAAATCACTGGGACTCTGAAAACTGTTGACCGGCTGAGTAGTAGCATTCGAATAATGTCTTGTAGATTCTGAAGTCTTTGGACTGTCGGGCTCCACATCTATGGTCATCATAATGCATCCAGTCTGCTCATCTTCACTGGAATACTGTGAGTCCGTTTGCAATCCATCTCCACTTGATGGCACTGGGTCATTCGTGTCGATATTTGTCAGGATAGGTGGGAACGATATTTCCTTGCCTTCGACGTAAGTTTGGGAGATCCTGTACTGCTTCTTTAGTTCTTCATTGAAGTATACATCTGTGTTGTCCAGGGTTGGGATCTCAATCGGAGGAGTGTCAGCCCTGTTTCCAATAGCTTCGGAATAGCTAAGTGACCTTTCCAAAGTCCGACTCCCTCTTCTCTGCGGGTGGTAATTCATTTTTATTGTTTTACACTTTCGAAACTGTTAACACTTGTTTAACACTTTCTTTGTTTATTTTACCATTTTCGTTTATTCCTTTATGTCAATATTCCTTGTTAATGTATCATCACTAAAAATTTCTGACCCACTTTTTTGTCACTTTCACTGATTTCAAACGCAATAATAAGTCAAATCTTTGTAAATATTGTAATGGAAATAATTTTCAATGTTCGTGTTCGGCCTGGAGCAACCAAAGTTATCTGCGGCGAGCTGATAACTGATAAGTGATAACACACCTTATCCGCTGGCGATAAGACATATTTACTCAGGCACCATTGTGTTTTGATCAAATTGGCCCAGAAACTTGACGGTGCGTTGACTTGGCAAACAAATGAATTCTAGTTTTCGTTCAAGTAACCAAAGTAACTACGCGTGGTGATGTCATAGATAAGCTTTTAGCAAAGGCGCATGTTTTACATCACCTTCATCTAAGTAACAAACGAAATACTTACAATAAGTCGTACACAATTTACAAAAAGGAAAATAAGTAAGAAATAAAAATATGATAATTAATAAAAATATTTTATATTTATCTATATATATAAAAGAAAGTCGTGTTAGTTACTCCACTTATAACTCAAGAACGGCTGAACCGATTTAGCTGAAAATTGTCCGGGAGGTAGTTTAGAGCCAGGAGAAGGACATAGGATACTTTTTATCCCGTTCGAAATTAAAAAAAAGTCTGCTTATTTATTGCCATTAAGGCGGAACAAAGTTCGCCAGGTCAGCTAGTTTTCAATAATACTTAATCGTTTATCGTATACAATTGAGATTAAACAATAAAATTAAATGTAAAATACTGAATTATCATCACTAATTCAGGCATAAAGCAAGAAAGAGGCAGAGCTACACAATTAATTTAAAATAAAGGGAACATATAAGTTATTTACAAGACTGTGGCACTTTATGTAGTTAGTTAGCTATAAATTCTATATTGCAAAAAGATATAGGTAGATGGAAAAATTTACACAATGATAAACCTAGCATAATAAACAACTTAATGACTAATAATATTGCAAAATACTATTTATTTACAAACCAGATTACACGTACAATTTTATTAAGCATTTTGATGTTCACAACAGTATTTTATAGTGACTATATTGTGAAAGAGAAATAAATAAACTTTATTATTATTATGTATGAAATTCAATCTTATCACAAATTAATCAAGTTTTTTTTGCGATACAATTAACGATAACATCCGAAATACCGTACCCAAACAATTTCATTGGAACTGCTAGATGGAAAAGGTTGAGAAGTTCATGATCGCTTTGTTTCTTTATGGGAGGCATCTTACAGTAGTGGACTGGCCTAAGAAGCTAAAATGATGAATTAGGGTTACGTATTTCAAAGCTTCAAATAGAGAAAGCTCGTGTCGTGACGTAACCTTGCCAGAGCCAGTCTTATGATATCGTGTGTCGACATATGGCTTTCAGAACTAATGTCCCAACAGCAGAAAAGCTATGGAGTGGCGACCACGGACCGCAATACGTAGCAGGCCTCTCACTCAGTGGCCCGACGATCTGATGAGCAGTAAACGACATTTGGTTGAAACGAACAGAATAATTTTCACAATTTTTTTATCCACAACGCCAAGCCAAGCCATAGCTTTCTATGGCTTTGGAAGTTTAAATGCTGGTCTAGTATGCTGGAAGTGCTGCAACAGGCTTTAGCTACTGGTGGAATACCCAGTTTCTGCCCCAGGGGGAAGCAAATCAGATTTTTTGGGCAAGATCCCTTGCGCTTAGACGCTTAAATGACAGATTGTAGCTGCTTACAATTCCCGTGGTCACCGTCACCTATCCACTCGTGAAAAGACGCTACAGTTAGAATGTTAAATAGGCCTCCCACTCAGTGGCCCGACGATCTGATGAGCAGTAAACGACATTTGGTTGAAATGAACGAAATCTTCAAAACTTTAAATGGAGAAAGTGCGTATCGTGACGTAGCTCTGCCGCAGCCTGGCTCATGGCTTGACCGGCCTCCGCTTGAAGGACGAGGTCCTCTCCAGCTGGAAGGCGGAGATCTTGTCGCTGAAGCTACTGGGCGTGCCCGGCCGTGGCGGCAGGTCAGGCTTGTCGTCCAGCATGCTGGAAAAGATGGAGCTGAGTTAGGTTTTGGTGGGCATGCAGATACACAGAGCAGAGGGCAGCAGGTTCGAGTTTGGTAGAGTCACCCATAATTAGACACTTAAGTACATGAAACATAAGGTCGCTACAATTTCACCATCATCAGGTTCTAGACGTCAACTATTGGAGAGCTATAGGGGTTATAAGGGTCATAAACCGTGCTTCATTTATTGGTGATCGAACTAATTGATAGTTTGGCAGCACTTTTTCAAAAACTAGTGACGATACTTGGAGATTTCATAGTTATCCCTGACCAGATACATGCAACAGTATAATTTTACCTGTACAATTGACTAGCGCTGTAATCCGGAGTGTCAACTGGTTCAGTAGCATCCAGCTTCTGGTGGTCAATCACGTATTTTTGTTTTCGCGTGTCGTACCTGAAATGAAAAATTGAGCACGTTTGGGAATATTTTTTGTCTCGTCTTCTGCGTTGCCATGCCACTAAGGATATGCCATTGGTAAGTCTATATTCTAGACCGAGACCATACATAAAAGGGCCACTATTTTCACGTAGAAGGAGATTATCTTACTTGACCACTGGTGGGAAGCGATGCCCCCAAATAACTTCTTTCGGAAGATAGGAGGTCTGGCTCTGTGTGAACGTGCCCATAGATGCCGACGCTCCCTTCAGGCTCACTGTGATCTCGTAGCTGAAATAATTTGAGAAAAATTTAATATTTTTCATGGCTTCAATCATACCGCTTTGTAAACGTTATGAAATGGAGCTTTGCTGAACTAGTAAATTGTTCCATATCATACTAACTATGAATTATTTATGTGATCCAAGAGAATGGTCCACTGGGTTGGGTAAAATGTGGCCCCGTTATTAAAAATAATGCAGGCGAATTCGCCAGCTTATAGGAGAAAATACTTACGCTGTAAACGTCCAAAACTTTTAAATTCTTCTACTTATCACACTCGAGGGATTCGAACCACCCTTTTTATAGTTTTAGTAGCCAGTTTTGTATATCATTTGACTGCAATCACACTATGTTGAGTGTGATACAGTCTAGGATGGTGCATACCTGCTCTGTAAGTGCCTATTCACTCTCATTTGACATGTAATGAACATTATGAATAAATTTCTTATTCTTATTCTTATTCTCACCGTGAAGATTAAGATCCGAGCTGGATTATAGTGTTCGAGAAAGACAGCAGCAGGCCAGTCCTTAGTTGTTCACATTATAAAAGAGGTAGCCAATCATTTACCTGTTGTGCGCAACGTGCTGCGGCGTGAAGTGGAACAAGGGGCTATCCTCATTTATCTCGTGCACCAGGGTCACAGGCCATAGCAGGAACTGGTTCTGCTGGAGCGTCAGTCCCCGGGCGTAGTAGCGCAGCATCTCGCCTTCTTTTGTTCTGAAAGGCGAATAATTGCTTAAAGAATGGAATAAAATAATAGCCTCGATTAGCCTAAGCCCTTGATGAGACGTGAAAAGAGAAAATAAGTTTGATGTTGTGTTCAGGTCTCTAACTCGTCAGGCGAGAGTGGAAGACTGGGAAGTGAAGACCATCCTCCATTTGCCTTTGGGATATTAGAGTCCTCTTGCAATGGAAACTAAATGATGATGATTGGTATTCGTGTAGTAGGACTCTAGGTTAGGGTGCCGTAGATTCTAATGCAAGCCAAACGAATATACTGGTGTAGGAGATGTGAAGATTTGTGGCGACCGTCCCTATATAAGCCAGCGCGCAGTGAGACTCGGGCTCCCCCCGGACACGGCCTGAGCCGAGGTCCGAGCCTACCGTGGCGCCCTCAGGCCGCGTCCGTAGTCCCCTCGATCGGGCCCACTAGAGTGAGCCCGCCGTAGGCTGGACTATGGTCCAACACCGCGGTGGGCAACCCTCTAGTTGGGTTTGCCACTGATCGGGCGCCTTATGCGCTCGATACGGCCCGATCGCCAAACGGCTAGAGTACCTTCTGTACTCGCCACTCTGCCCGGTGAAGCTGGAAAAGCTCCTCAAGCTACCAGCGCGCGTCACTTCAAAAAAAAAAAAAAAGACTCGGGCTCACTTTGCCTTCAGCCGTCACTGCGATCGGAACTCTCGGATTTTGCATTTTTGTGTCAATTATTTTTTATTGTAATTTGTTTTCTTATTAAAATCAGTGCGAAGTCATTTTTGTCTTTTTAAAAAAAGTACTTTCCCTCGGGATTCGCTACACTGGTTTTCTAGTTTATATTTGGTAGAACATTGGTCATCTAGTTTTTAAGGGTAGAACAACATTGAACTATTATTATTTATTTACGGTCCCCCTAGAGTCTAGACGATGAATAAAACACTACCTACGATGAGTATTTATTCCAAGCATAACTATTTTTTCTTTATATACGTTGTGCTTCCGGTTTTTATATTATTTTTGTTACTTTAATTACCTGTGCGTGTTCACAAAATGCGCCGTAAACTCCGAGCTGATGATGTGGTCGTAGTTCAGGTCCCACGCCCTCATCATCAGACAGAGCTTGCCGTCGCGCAGACTGATCTGGAACGAACAGAAACCATAGTGACGCTTTTAATAACGACAATTTACATGAACTAATCATGTAAAAGTCCTAGCTAAAAGACCATCTAAATTGTACTGTTTAGTTTTGTATCTCATTTATTTATTTATCATACCCTAGACTTGGATTTTCGTGAAAATTAAATTGGTATTGAATAAAAGCTAATGACGAATAAGATCTAATAACTAATTCGACGATAATGCTCGTTACTTATCATCTCATTACCATACATACCAACATTGGAGCAATAAAGAATTTGAATTTGAATTTGATCTCCTTAAGCATCTTAATAGCAATTACACGTACTGGTATTGCGGTGAAATAACATCAGGCGTTCAATTTTCTATGTCATTATATTTATCAAAAAGGCAACGAATAAGATTTAAACAAGTGTCAAGCTTCTAATTTATTACATAATTTAATTCTAATAATTTAATTAATTAATTATAATAATAATTTAGTTATAAGTTGCACATACCACAGCTTTCTTGCTAAACCCAACGCCATCTCTGGACAGTTTCTCGGGTCGTGTCAGCTTTGCGTACACGACGCATGTCAGGACTCCGGATAGTCCAGTTCCTAGGATTAGCTGAAATATAAATAAAGACCTAGCTATAGTCAAGACTCTAAGGCTGGGTTGCACCACCCAATTTTGACCGTAACTTTGACGATGACCGGTGCTTTTTGTTTTTGACAGCTCTTTGACGTTTGTCAAAGTTAAAGTAAGTTGGTGCAACCCAGCCTTAGAAATTAACATACTTAAAAAATATTAACGCAAACTTTAAAAAAAGAATTACTGATGCCCTTGAACCTTGATTTTGTGTTATGGACTATTGTGTTTAGTAGCAAACTATTCGAGACAGCCAGCTACTTAAAAATAAAAATTAAATCAAAAACGTCTTTATTTGTTTAGAGTTATTAAATTATTTCTTATAAATCGTTCTTTCTCGGACCCTTTTCATGTTTCATTATTTTTATGCCTACGAAACACAAGTAGAGGCTGCAATAAGATGTTTTCTTACCTGCATGATAAACAGGAATATTGATTCTGGACACTCTTCGTCAATCGTCCGGTCGCCAAATCCTATGGTCGTCTGTAAATAGGAAAAATAAAGGAATTTAGAAAGAAAGAAAAGCTTACTTTCGTGCTACGATTAAAAATAATAATTTTAAAAGGCACTGTGCTCAGTCTGGTCAGAACTGAAACTTAAAAATGTAGAGTCCGATGTAATAATCTCTGTTGTATTATGTTCGTTACATAATAAGCTCAAATCTTTTTTTACGCATAACAAGGCAGGTATTTGATAATAAATAATAATAATAAATCATTTATTTGCCAGAATACGGTTACAAATGGTTATAATTGTCGGCCGTTTGGTGTAGTGGTTCGAATCGGACTACTATTCCGGAGGTTGCGGGTTCGATTCCCGCACAGTACAAACATTTGTGTGCATGAACTGTATTGGACTGAGTGTTTTCTATGTATAATATGTATGTATTTACAAAAAAAAAAGTATATAAGTATGTTTATATCCGTTGTCTAGTACCCATAGTACAAGCTTTGCTTAGTTTGGGGCTAGCGGCGCAGTGTAAAATGTCAAAGGATATTTATTTATTATTATTATTATTATTTATAAAAAGAGAAGTTTCCAACATATTCTATCGTACATACGATGTGCAAATATTACAAAAAATACGAAACCACAATCAACAATGTTTGACCACAATCGCACCTGGTGTTAAGTGGGATACAGTCTATGATGGTAAATATCTGCCTTGTAAGTGCCTATTCACTCTCGCCATGAAAACGCCCGGATTATAGTCTTCGGGAAAGACAGCAGCAGGCAGCGAATTCCAATCCCTAGCTGTTCGCATTATAAAATAGTAATCGAAACGCTTAGTGCGAGCTGGTGGAATGTCAACAATATAGGGATGGTACGCTAACCTGCGTCTGGTTCCCTGGTGATGGAAGGCGGCTGGTGGATTCTATTCAGCATCAGTCTCAGTCGGCATTGAATTCGAAGTAGGTTTCATAGACTCATGATAAAAGTATTCCGATTAACTATATCTAAATAAATGCGAATGTCGAGGCCACAGTTTCTCCTTAATACGGTCATGATCAGCAGTCATTGTTCTATTAACTAATGTAGTTGTAACGTAGTGTTACTACTGCACGCCAAAGTCTAGGTTATTTACGACAGCCCACGATTTAGTTGTGGTCTAAGACACAAGCATTAATTTACAGGTAAACAATCGAAAATATTAAATTCCTTTATTTGCATGGACTATTAAATATCTAAATATTTAATGAATAAACATTTTTTCTTTCTTTCTTTCTTTATTAATGCTTACAAATCGACAAGTATTAAAATAAAAATAAAAACATAAATCACGAAATAATGCTAAAAACTTTGCTCTTATGGAGCCTTTACATTTACATGTCTCATAATTTTTTTTTGCCCTACTAGAGCGCTTCGAGACCAACATTTTACAAAGCTCTCTATGTATTACAATTCTCAACTTAACTTTTTGACATGTATTCCCTTTGCTTCGAAGAACTTGAGCCAGTGCTGTGTCCTTATATTACTGTATTCGTTGACATTAATAATAATTTAATTTGTTCTGAGAAAGTTTTTTTTATTGAATCGCTATGTCCCACACCTTGTTATTGCCAAAAGTGAACTACACGTAATATTGTGAACATCGCATCAGATCGGCACGCTCCGCTATACTTAGGACTGTCGTGGAAATTATGACGGATGATGACAATGAAGATCCCTGGATCATTCATAACAGCATAAACATTGATAAATTCGAATTTGATGTTACTAATTTAAGTCTTTTCAAGGAAAACTTCATCACACTCAAATTTTCTAAGTCCTAGATAGGTAGACAGACGGATAGGTCAAGTTCCTATAAGACTAGATTTTTAAGTATAAAAAGGTTAAAAAAAATGACGACTGAAGTACCTAGAGATCTTTGAAACTCAAGAGTATCTAACTGTTAGGCTTAGAGTAGGCACACACCGTTGATTTTTCGTCGGCCGATAGTTTAGTCGGGCAGTTGATCAGTATGGGCATGTATGGGAGTGCGCACACTACGCCGATTCGATTTGGCCGATTCTTCATACAATTTAAAATCGGGCACAACTATCGGCCAACTAAAAATCAACGGTGTGCGCCTACTCTTACAACTACCTAAACTATGAGACCACAGTAACATGGTATAATGTTTATACTGTCATTAAATACCTATGAATAAAAGTGCCTAAATGTTCCAAGCTTAATTAAGTAAAAATAAAATTCATTCATTCGTTCGTTTTAAAAGATGGTTACTGCAGGACAACGATAAAATAGTTTAAAGAAAAACATCCTCGACCCGATCTTTCTTCGCCGTCAGTCACAATATAGCTGCATAAAATTGGTGACGGCCCCGCCTAGTTCCTTTTTATAAAGATTGGAGCAAATTGAGCAATCAAGGCCGATTGGCGAGAGCTTCCTCTTTTGTGGAATTAACTAACGGCTTGTTAGTCGAATTGGAATTGTTGAAAAATTACGGCTGAATTGAAAAATGTGCTTCTTTTCCGCCGCTTGCGTAGATTTGGTTATCTCCTAACTTGTAATTTGTCTGTATTTTAAGTAGCTAATTATTCCAATGTGAAAACGTTGATTATGTCTTGATTACTCATGATTCGGTCCGCACTCAATCAATAAGTTTCATGATTACAAAAGGTAAGCGATCCAGTGCTTACCCGAGCTTATATGGAAATGAGGAATATTTTTATGAAGTCCTTGCTCCCAATGACGCAGGTCTCTTTGGATTGGGTTCGAAGTCATAATGTGCCAGCGCTGTGATGTACCTACCAGAAAACTGCGAACACCAGCACAAAACAAGATATATACTTGCCTGAGCTTCAACAGAAGCGAGGAAGATGTTGACGAAATCCTTGCCCCCAGTCACGCAGGTCTTGTTCGGCGGATTCGGCTCGAAGTCATAGTGTGCCAGCGCCGTGATGTACCAGAACACGGCGAACACCAGCCAGATGGTGAAGTGGACGAGCACCGTGCCCATCACTATCCAACGCCATTGCAGGTTTATCTGGGAATTTTTAAAGCATCAGCATTGGCAAAGCAGAGACTGATGACTTTCACGCAAAATATTCGTGGAGTGCGTGGAGGTTGATGAATGATGGGTAAAATTGTAAAAAGAAAAGAAGATCTTTATTATGTTGAATCCAAGACAGACTTTAGCCAAATTCCTATTAACTATGGACAGTTTCTCAAATGAAATATTGTATGAAGACTAGAATCACGATTGTTATAAATTTAGAGGAGAAAATTAAATAACCCACAAAACGAGCCCTTACAAGAAAGGGGAAAGATAAAGAAGATAGTTTCTGTTTGTAAAGATTTATGTTGTAAAATCAAACCAAAATGTGATTAAAATTGCAATCGTTACGTCCAAAACTGTCATTAAAACATCAAATTAATATTATGACAAATTAGGATCAAAAACAACTTATCTCGTTGTAATACGGTTTATTTTGCACAAAATTGTATAGGCTAATAAGCAGTCGACTGTTTGATGACTATTTGACTTACCAAAGTGTGAAAAGTGTCGTTCAGAAGTCGGATCTTCCCGAAAGGCACGTTGGATATCAAAGCCACATTCTCCACGCCGTTCTTGGAAACCAAACGTTTGGGGAACTCGCCGTAGCCCCCTCTACGGAGGGGCGGGGGCTTTCGCACACTGTCACAGTGAACATTTAATTGTTATTGTAAATTATAATTGTCTGTGTGAAATCACAGGTAACATAGGTCATAAAAATGTCATAGATCAGCTGTGTTCCGCTGAATAGGCATTCAAAAAATGTTGTGGTGTATGACAACGTAAGTTGTGCTGTGAAGCATTCAGTTTGTTAAATTATGGGGACTTTGTTAAGCCGTGTCAGTACTGAAGCTGCCAAAAGAACATTTTTTACGTAATTTGATTCTTGTTTCATTAATTTATTTGTTTCATCAGATGTTACAGTGATGTAAAGTAATTAAATAATTAAAGCTACAGAGTGTTACCTAGCTAGAAAAAAAAATGGGTTCGTATTTATCGTAGCACGAAAAATAAAATGTTAATAGGGCCGAAATTCAATAAGATTAAATATGTATATTTATCTCTATGAAACTACAAAAAATATTTTATGCAACTAGTTACTTACGTATTATGCTGCTGTTTTGGCTCTTGCTTCGCTGGAGGTACCAAATCCTCCACCCTCGTCTTTCCTTCCTTTAAATCCAGACTCGTATTGCTTTGAGTTATGATTATTTTTGGAAGCTGCTGCGACAATTTCCTCAATCTCTCCGACTTGACATCCAAAGAGTTCACGCTTTCTCCTGAGATTATTTCGTTTTCAACTTTATAATCGATTTTAAGTTCGTAAAAGCCATTATGATTCTCATACTTATTAGTTTTGTTATTTGCTTCTTCTTTTGATTTGTTTTTTACATCTTTTTCTTTAATTGTTTCGTAATCAGGCTCTTCAAAGTCGTCATCAGTCAAATGATATTTCTTTCCTTGGAAAATATCTGTGTCTTTGCTTTTCTTCAAATAATTAACACATTCATCATAAAGTAGATTTATTTGCTCGAATTCTAAATCTTTTATTAGCTGATCATTTTCCATTTTTTGTGAATAATTGTTGACCTTAAATAAAATATCACGATGTAAAACAAAATAATACAATTTTACTTGATTTAAAACTGTAAACATTCCAAAACTTAAAAGACACGTTGGCAAATACAAATTAAACATACGCACAGTGTGTTATGGGACTGTATAAACGGACATTCTCATTGATTTGATGAAACGTATAGAGCTCAGTTATACAAACATGATAGTAAAACTCCCGTTTGAAAATTCCACGTAGTTTTCGCGTTATAAAAATTCAAAGTTACCTATTTTTTTACTTCAAAATTATGCAAAAATATTCTCACTCGTTAACTAATAACATTTAATTCAGAATTGTTAACAATACTTCATAGAGCTCTTAAAACTACACGTAATAAGCGTATTAAGTGCTTCGTAAACGCATTCAGTTAATTAGGAAAAATGATTTTAGTGATTTTTGTTTTTATTTTTTTTCTCAATTATACCTTAATATATGCAAACATTTTGAATTGCAAGATATAGTCTGATATTTAATCTAATTGTATTAATAAAATCAGCTTTAAACTCCGTGATATATTTGAGAAAAAACATAAAACGTCTTAATAAAATTTTTACGAGTCTAGGGTCGACAATTTTGGAAGGAATAATTCATGTCTAAAAAGTTTCAAATCCCGCCTGTTATGTGCATAGTGTTGAAGGTTCTAAAAAGTCACATTCACATTGTTTTTAACCGACTTCAAAAAAAGGAGGAGGTTCTCAAGTCGAGTTATTTTTCTTTTTTAACACTCTTATATTAACTTAAGTTGTATGTAAGTAACTAACTAAAAAAGTATGTAAACTAATCTAGGAAGTCGAAATTTATCCTACCTTTAATAATTTTCTCATCGATTTGAAACCTATGTAAATCGAATGTCAATACAATAATTTGGTACAATCGAGCTGATGATATTTAAACATCCAAAAGAAATATTGCTATTATAAAGTGATGGGAAATTTACAATTCTATATTGCGCATATTTTCAATTTGATTTTCCTCAAATATATCACGGAATTTAAAGCTGATTTTTTTTATGCAATTAGACTAAATATCAGACTATATCTTGCACTTAAAAATGTTTGCATATATTAAGATATAATTGAGAAAAAAAATAAAAACAAAAATCACTAAAATCATTTTTCCTAATTAACTGAATGCGTTTACGAAGCACTTAATACGCTTATTACGTGTAGTTTTAAGATCTCTATGAAGTATTATAACAATTCTGAATTAAATGTTATTAGTTAACGAGTGAGAATATTTTTGCATAATTTTGAAGTAAAAAAATAGGTAACTTTGAATTTGTATACCGCGAAAACTACGTGGAATTTTCAAACGGGAGTTTTACTATCATGTTTGTATAACTGAGCTCTATACGTTTCATCAAATCAATGAGAATGTCCGTTTATACAGTTCCATAACACACTGTGATACGGCACAATTCACTATCAAAGATAAAAGATTTGAATTTCCTCAATTTTTTCATTGTAATTTACAAATTGTGTACCTACTTACAACGTTTGTTTTTTTGCTAAATTGTCTCTCAACACCCTAAAGAACGTCATGTAGAAATCTTACCGTATATTTTAATTATTTCTCGCAAACACTTCGCTGTCACAGATTCATCTCACACTTTATGATGTTTTGTATTCACATATCACAAAATATATCACTTTCCTTATACACCACAAAGTCTTGAAATCTCTCAACCACAAAAATACCTTTAAAAATAGTTCCAAAAGAAATTCGCGTGATTCTCAAATTTTTTGAAAATTGCAATTTAATTTCTCCGATTTCGTAATTCTGCGTAACTCGAGTGTCGTATTAGACAGTGATGACTGAGCCTTCAGCTATCTCGTTATCTCTTATCAGTGCTAATTGTGTGAGTGGAGAGCGCTCGAGCGGCCACTAAGCCCCAAGATTGAATGCGACCTTGCAGCGGTCGGTGGGTGATTCTGCGTGAGAGGATTCATGCATGTTTTTAGCTGAGTTATCCTTTGACACTTTTTTATCTGTTTACTTTAAAAAAATATTTTTGATTCTTATACTTATTTCTGCTATCAGTAAAGCTAAAGTTACTCCAATAAAAGACAGCTCCAAATTTATTGATTGAATTATATTAGTTAGGAGTTTTGTTCACACCTGGATGCGGTGCAGGACCGTTAGTTCTGGAAATCTTTGGGGAAACCCTTTGCCTTTCTTATGGTTAATGCGATTTTTTTCGTATCCTAAATGTAAAAGTTTCTCCGCAAACGTTAGTAGTTAGAAAATTTTCTTCGCAAAGAAATTAAATTGGATTCGTTTGCAGAACCACCCACCGCAGTTACAATGATCCGAGCGTAAGCCGCCTAGCCCGCCCGCTAACTAATTTTATTTACGATTTATTTGATGCGCTAACTTCACAATAAATATTAGTTCACATCATTGTGCGTCATTGTGATTTCGTGCGGAATTGTTGCACGCACACATCAATTTATAATATTTAAAAGGAGCATAAGTATTATTTTTAATTACTCCCCTTTAATTTTAAAAAGACTACCGATAACGCCACTCTTGTGGTAGAGTTTCTGGCTGACACTGTGAAAGTTCTTTGTTGTCGATACTACAAGAAGAATTACGCCCCTCCAGTTTATGCTCAATATTTTTAAGCTAATGTTTACCATAATTTAGCGATCAATGGAGATCGAACTAGCGACTTACGAACGAATCGACAGTCCAATGCGGACACCCTTGGGGCTTTTGTCGCTTTAAAAAATTATAAATATATGCGAACAAAAGAATGCATCTGCATGAAATAGTTTTGTGTACTGAGATTGATAGTTTAGATATATGAAATTGCGACTCAAAATAAAAATAAAATGGATCTTTCGCATTATTTAAGAATAAGATAAAACGCATTAAATAGGTTTTGCTAAAATAAATGATGTAGGGAAGTTGACAAGGCATCAAACGTCACCAATCTCCTGTAAATATTTGGTTGTGTAAAAATAGATAGCAACTGCATGCATGTAAATGGCGATCGTTCCTGAAGATTCTTGTCAGTGAGATTTAAAATGTTATTCACAGTATTAACCCCTAATTTGTTAAGGTTTCATTTCCACGTAAATACGTCTTCTAAGGGTCTTGATTGATGAACATTTTTCTTTTAGCATACATTTCTCGTTTTCAATGAATAAATGTTATGATTTTATTTAGTTTCTTTGACGATAAGATTCAAGGCAGGCAGTTGGCACACATCTCAAAGACAATCTTTACCATATTAGAGAGCATTGTACTTATTGTAGCTGCTTTTTATCTTTGTTGTTATGGAAAATTGTCTAAATACTGTGATGGATATAAAATCTTTCTTATCAGACGTTATTTATCTTAAGCTACTGTAAATGTTTAGTGAGAACAAAAAATAGTCTGTATAAGACTTTTATTGTGGATATTAACTACCAGAAGCTTTACAATGTTGAAAGACAGACAGTCAGGTGAGATACAGGCCAAGAGATTCCTCGTTGTGGATAAAAAAAAAAAAAAAAAAAAGTCAAAATAATTAATAACTAGCTGACCCGGTGAACTTTGTTCCGCCTTAATGGCAATAAATATAACTTTTTTTTAATTTCGAACGGGATAAAAAGTATCCTATGTCCTTTTCCTGGCTCTAAACTACCTCCCTGACAATTTTCAGCTAAATCGATTCAGCCGTTCTTGAGTTATAAGTGGTGTAACTAACACGACTTTCTTTTATATATATTACTAGCTGACCCGGCGAACTTTGTTCCGCCTTAATGGCAATAAATAAGCAGACTTTTTTTTTGTTTCGAACGGGATAAAAAGTATCCTATGTCCTTCTCCTGGCTCTACACTACCTCCCTGACAATTTTCAGCTAAATCGGTTCAGCCGTTCTCGAGTTATAAGCGAAGTAACTAACACGACTTTCTTTTATAATATAGATTATAGATTATAGAAGATTATAGAAGATAATAAATAACGACATGACACAGCATACAAATCTGAAGTTTCGCTGACGTTTGACGTCTCAAAAACACCCTTTCGTACCGCTCCCATTCTTCAGGCAATGAATTAAGTAGTTAAGTGTTAGACCAATAATACATATTTTTTTACCAGATGAGGGTTCAAAATAATACAAAAATAATTTGGCAATGTTTTATTTCGCCTCAAAATCCACACCCACACACCCAACACAATAATCTTATATCGTGGTGTTTTATAGTCTCTTTCGTTATACATTAAAATCTTTAATAGTTTAACATCAAATAAATTTAGTTTGAAGCAAGTACATAAAGCTATGCTATTCTTTAAGGATACCTTTAAATCCCGTTTACTGGGACAGCGCAGTGCCTTTCAATAAATATCAGTTTTTCCTGAGTAATTTTAACTAAACTAGCGCCTGACGACCAAAACGATGTGAATCAGCACTAAGTGCGTTTAACATTTAAACTAAATCAGTTGTTTGTAATAAGTAGGTAGGTTCACCTTACCACGTGTCTCCTTATAGATCTTAAAAAACAACAGCATTGTTCTCAACTTCGAACTCTTCCTATGTTCTTTCGTTGCGGGTCTAATGACAGTTTAACGTTCCTCTGGGACAAACTGGACCATCACTGGTTGGGTTTTTATTGGCGGTCAAGCTGTAGATCCTGGCTACACAGGAGTTGCAGCGGTGGGAACAAGAGGTGGGAATAGTCCCGTAAGACAGCATTCGCGCAAAACCCGATTTTGAGTACTGAATACTACTTGAAATAAATATGACCCATTGTAATTATTCCAATTTTAATAATGTTTTCTCCCGTTGACTGCCTTTCGTTTTGTGCTGTTGCCTATTTCTATCTTGCTCATAAATTATAATATCAACCAGTAGAGACACCTTCAAAACTATCAGTAGGAATTAAAAAGCGAGAAATCACCCGTATGGCACACACAATAAAATTCTTACACGCGTGCTCTCATTGCTAAAAATACACACCAACGAATAGTAACCAAGAACACACATTATCATGTCATTTATGCCCGTTTTCACCATCAATACCTATGGTAACACATAACAGGAATTTTGTTTTCACAAGGGTCACTTAAAAATTATGGATTGATGGTGAAAACTGGCATCAGTTTCATCTCCAGGAGACTGACCCTCTCTATTTACCAGAGGCAAATGGAGAATTTGATTTACACTCCCCGCGCTTAAATTTTTACATACACACACACTGTTTCTGGTAATGAATATTTCCATACAATATTATGAAGTATCCGTTACACTAGAGCTTATTTTTTTAAATAAATTTTCAGTAACGATTTCCATTATTTCTCTCAACATTTCTTTCAGCTTTATTTTGTTTCACTTTTCGCGTTATTGACCTTGAACTATCATTTCTATAAGTTAATATTTTACTTTGTATAATAACTGAAAAAGCATCCTATGCTAAAGCCTCAGGCCCATTGATATAAAGTTTTTTTTTATCAATTTCAACGATATTTTCTTATTATAATAATGTTTGCCAATAATCTTCAAGCCGTAGAAGATTTCAATAAATAAATCTAAAGCAATTATACATACTTTGGCATTCTAAATTGACAATAGCTACGTTTATTCGACTTTGGCAATGAATAATTTAGTAAATATTTAATATCTTTCACTACTATCAAGTGCAAAAAATTATATATTTTAGCCGTAATATAGTATGAGGAGTTGGTTGATATATTTGGTCGGAATTGTCAAGATTTTGTTGATGGTAAGTACATAACTATGTATATTATATTATGTATTTCGATATTATAATATATTATCATCTATATAAATCTAATTCTATTCAATTGGACATATATTTACATGACAGTATGTAATATCATTATTTTGATACTATAATAATATCGTTATCAGGTAACATAGTGACATTGAGTTTGCTATAAATACATATAAATACTAATTAGTACCTATTGAACTCGGTATAATTATTCTATATTAGGATATAATAATAATATTATAATGTAATACTATACACCTAGCTCTATGTTATATATTTTTAAGTTATATTATAAATTTTAGTGATCTACTTTTTCTATGAATGTCACTTTGTCATATTTAAAGATATAAAAATGCCTCATGTAAGCATAGGTAAAAAAGCAACTAAAAATTACGAAAAATAATAAGTAAAACTGCTCTATGATAACATTTCGTAAATATTTTCTTTTAAATAGGGTTCAAATGTTAAAAGACAATAAAGTCGCTCAAAATAAAAGCATTGTGGTATTTTCACAACCATTCCATAAACTCTGTTTCAACACAACCGGGGTAAATTATCTGTATTTTGTTAAAAACTTTGGAAAAAAGGGAAAAAATAATAAAAACAAAATAAAAAAAGAAACTTTATTCAATAAACAAAGAGTTAAAAAATAAAGATTAATTTACAACAGAAATTAAACATAGAAATCACAACTTTGGGTAGGTTTTATGTACGTAAAATGTATTGCTACATTTTGTATTTAAAACTATTAAATATACAACAATTATCATTTACCGTTACTAGCAAATATTGCTAACAACTTATAAAAAGGTTTTAAATGCGAAAAACTTTATTATTAGCAATATTTACATAGTATAATTAAGTAGTAATATAGTTTTCTTACAGCAGATAAAATAGAAATATTATTTGCAAGTAAAAAAAATATAGTTGCGTAAATCCAGATTTAGACTCAATAAATAAATAAATAAAAGTGATAGATGAAATGTTTATTTCATCAACATTAACCCATAATAATATCGAAATTATTCATGGGAAATCTTACGGATGTTTTGATGATTTATTAAAGTACGTCTGAATCCGGTTCCCTTGTAAAATTATAAGAATTTATATACAATATCCGGTCAGTTTTAATACAAAATTATTAGTTATTTTTACTAAACTTCTGAACCAATTTTGTGGGCACTTAGTTCAGAGATAGCTCTGATTAAAATATGAAGGTTTCAGTTTATTTTTGGGTAATCTTAGAGAATATATTGGTATTTTATCTACTATATGAATGTACTTAGCACATTAACAGCATAGTCCTGACTAAATTGCAAAAAAGAAAACTGTTGATCCTATGACTTAAATAAAAAAAAAAAACAACTCACGAGCTTTTTGTTGGAAATTGTTATATTTTTAGTTTAGTTTTTTGGTGTATTGGAATAATAGGATCATCTTTCTTTTGCACACTTTATTCAGTACCATTCTGTATAACTGGCAAAATCACAACAAAACCGCGATCGGCTGCTATACTAACTACGACATACTTCTCTGCTAGACTCATACCAAGTGCCTCGGTTGGTAGTTCCTGAAAAATAATGAGTTTCATTAGAATTAGCATTTTGCAATATACTTAGAATCACCCGTAAAAATAATAATTATTTATTATTAAATTGTTATTGCATGTTAGAGCAAGATTCCCTGAAGATTTGGGATAGTAATAAGGATTTATCTAATATTTAATCACTCAATAAAGTATTATTGGTTTGAAACAACAACAATAAAACTCTAATTTTACATTCATTTGAAATTGGGTTTCGGTATAAAATTAGTTTAAAAAAAGTTTTGTTGGACAAAATAAAAATAAAACAACCAAAAAGCACATTTAAACCATGCAAACAAATTATATAAACGAAGAGGAAATATAAACAAACATACATATTATTTAATATTGAAAACAGACAAGCAAACATTAAGGCCTCAGCCTCGAACTTAGCGGGCAGCGGGGCGGCGGCGGCGGCGGCGCGGGAGCGGCAGGATCTTATGCGTAAAATCAAATAGACCGGTTCTCGAAAACAGCGGCGCGGCAGCGGCGCCGGAGCGGGCAACGAGCGGGCAGCGGCGAGGGAGCGGGCAACGAGCGGGCAGAGCGCACTCCTTCTTTTGCCCACAATAAATCGAGCGTTAGGAATAAATTTGAATCGAAATAAAATTGTCGCCGTTGTTCAGACATTTCGTTTGCGAATAAAAACAAATATCTCGACAACACAACCCCGAACACAACACTTCGCCGCTAAAGCGCCGCGCGAGCTGCCCGCTTGTTTCGAGAACGGGTCTGCGTTGCCCGCCCCGCTCCAGCGCCGCCGCCGCTCCCGCCCCGCTGCCCGCTAAGTTCGAGGCTGAGGCCTAACATGCAAAACCACAACATAAGGATAACACATTTAACTCAGTATACAGCATGTCCAATAGCTCACTAACAGGTACTTTTTAACTTTTTCCCTATTGGGATATTTACCGGAAAGTCCAGAAAATACCTATTTAGTCTTGAAGACTCTGGGAACATGGGATATTCAAGTCAAGTCAATATTATATATTTTTTCTATATGAAAGCAGTAGATTGATGTTTGGATTTTTTTTAAACATGCAAGGAAATATGTAAAAGCTCCCCGATATTTGTTTGTCCTTAAACTTTAAAACACACTGTATACCAAATATAAATTAAGTAAACAAAGCGTACCATCTTAATTGTCAGTATAGCAGTTATGTACAATCGGCTACACGTCTGTGGTGTACCTGAAATATCATTATTTTAGATCTACCGCCTTAAAATATAAATACATGCTTTTGTTAGTCTTATAGCTTAATATACGATCAGCTAACTTGTATATTATTGATATTTTATTAAACAGAATGCTCAAATGAGTGAATAAGTGAAAATTATAACAGGAACCGATCGCAAAATACCCTGTATAATCCAGCTGTATCTCCAGGTCACCTAGATACATTCCATAGCAGCTGTAATAGACATTTAGGTACATAGATTTACCAATTTTGGTGATAAATAGGCATTTTGTATTAGTTTCTGTATAACGCCTGAACAAAAACAAAGGAGTATATTTTGGTGTTATACATAGATTTCGAAAATATATAATTTAACTAATTAAGACATGACAAAAAAAACTGAGGTATGTCTCGTTTCTGTCGGGTCTGGGTTTTTTTTGTATGGGGCGTGACCGTTCTTCTTTTAGAATGATGCTCCAAATGCGACATAAAATCTAGAATGGATTCAAATTTCAAAACTGCCAATGGCTTGAAATTCAGCTCATCCTAGGCTTCAAAATAAACTTGAGCTTAAGTCGAGTTTTGAGCTTTTTTTCATGCCTACGTTTTCTAAATCATTAAGTAGTTTGTCAAAAGTTATAATGAGACAAACTAACATTAAGGGCTGATTTTTCAATCGTTAGATAACTTTTAACTGAAGAATAAGTTTGGCACATTGACAGTTTTAGTATGGAAAATATGTCAAAATGACAAGTTTATTCTTCAGATAAAAGATATCTGACGATTGAAAAATCAGCCCTAAGTCAAATGTGTTTCTTGTTGGTTTTAAAATATTTACATTATTCAGTGTCCTATAGAAATTCAGTTGTATTATTCACTCGTGGTGCGACTATTAAAGACCCTTGACTTGATCCAAGTTAGCTGATCATTCTTATAATATTTTCATGCCACTTCGAACCTCATTCCACCAGCTTACCTATCATGCTTGTTGGGCGCGATGACGTCCTCATCCGACTCTATGTCGAAGAGCTCGTCTCGGTTGTAGCTCTTGTTGGTGAACCCGCCCATGTCTACTGGAATTGGAAATGTTACTATAGTACTGAGTTATGTTTGTGGTTTTATAATGGTTAGAGGAGGTCGTATTAATGCCTGTGGTATAGGACTATTCTCACTTCTCGTTCCCACTGCTGGAAATCCTGTGTAGCCAGGATCTACAGCTTTACCGCCATAAAAACCCAACCAATGAAGGTCAAGTTTGTCCCGGGGGAAAGTTAAACTGTCGTTGGACCCGCAACGAAATTAATCAGAAGAACATAAGAGGAGTTCGAAATTAAGGTTCGACTTCCCTCCATTGCAAAGCGGATGACAGGTGACAAACAAAGGTTTAAAACCCTTAAGAAAAGATTATGCACCACGGACAATAAATATCAATTAAGGGGGCTTATCTTATGAGCAATTAGCAACTACCTGCCAATAATATTTATAATGGTTAGACGGGGTCATATTAATGCCTGTGGTATGGGACTATTCTCACTTCTCGCTGCAATTCCTGTGTAGCCAGCATCTACAGCTTGACCGCCAATAAAAACCCAACCAGCGAAGGTCAAGTTTGTCCCGGGGGAAAATTAAAGCTGCCTGTGGTAGGTAGTGTGGTGAAAAATTAAAAAATATAAGTGTCTCAAGATAAAAGTCTTTGACCAGTGTTTGTTGCCAGTGGTAACATATGGAACGGAGACGTGGTCGTTTACTATGGGCCTCTTAAAGTAGGCTCAAGGTCACCCAAAGGTCGATGAAGCGAGCTATGTCCCTACGTGGTCGAGTCAGAAATGAGATCAGCAGGAAAACCAAAGTGAGATATTGTCCGCAGAATTGCTAAAATCAAGTGCAGGTTGTAGAGCTGGTGGCCGTTGGGGCAAAAAGTTCTTAAGTAGCGACCACGGGGCGGGAGACGTGTGGGCAAGCTCCCCACAAGGTGGACCGACGATCTAGTGAAGGTCGCGGGATGTACCTGGATGCGGGTAACGCAGAACCGGTCGATATGAAAATCTTTGGGCCTTTGTCCAGCAGTGGACGTCATTTGGCGAATGACCTTGAATGGAGAATTAAAGATCCTTACCCCTCGTGGAGTCTTCAAACTTCCCGTCGTCCCACTTGTACTCGTTCTCGGCGAAGAGCGGCGGCAGCGTCTGGTGCGGCGTGGGGTACAGGTCCAGGCCCTGCTTCTCGCTGTACACGCTGTCGCGGTCGCTGTACGTCGGCATCCTGGAATGAGGACAAGGAGAAGGTTCAATTTAAATAACTGTAAGGTTTCAAGTCAGTTTTCTGCATGCATGTGATAACTGTAAGGTTTGAAGTTCGTTTTCTGCATGACCTGATGGTTATTATCTTCATGGTGGTAGTTGTAAGGTTTCAAGTCAGGTTTCTGCGTGACCTCATGGTTGAAGACTGCACACAGCCAGCTGTTGTGGTTGTGCAGAGCGTTTTTGGCTTTGATGACTAAATACTAACGAGCTACATAGGCCAGGGTATGTATAGGTAGATCGTTTCATCCACGAAGACGCGCCCCCCCAATTTTTGGTCGTGGGAAACGCGGGGTGGGGGGAGTTTGATCCGAGCAATCCGAGCGTCACTTGTTGTGTGCGTGTGCACTCATGGATAATTTAGCGTGTACCGATAACACTCAAACATTAGCGGAAGAATGGTGAGGAGCATCTTCGTGGATGAAACGATTTATAATTAGCTCATCAGCTGTCCCAGCTATAATGAGGATTATTGTATACTTGATTGGTATAATTCTTGGAAGTTACAAATTGGTTTATGACATTTAAATGTAATTGGATCATTTTCTAAGAACAGTGACTCAGATTTTAGCTGCGCCCCGTCATTATTTTCATTGAAGTTTTGGTAGTTGTTTGTGCCGCAAATGAATCCCGACTAATAAAGGTTGAGAGAATGGATGACTATCTTGGGACCCACAACTTTAACCAGAAGTATACAGAAGGAGTTCGAAGTCATTTCAACACTTTCAACGTGAGCTACAGGACTATTCCCACCACTCATCCCCACCGCTGCAACTCCTGTGTAGCTACAGCTTGACCGCCAATCAAAATAAAAAATCAAAAATATTTATTCAGTTTAAACCACAAGTGGCACTTATGAACGTCAAAATATAATAAATAATAAAAAAAGATAAGGTAGCCCTTATGGGGCACTTTACATGTCTCCCTATCTTTTGGGCCCTACCAGCGCTTCGAGACAAACACATGGCAAGTGCTCAGAAGAAACGCCGGAACAAACAACAATAAAAACCCAACCAGTGAAGGTCAAGTTTGTCCCGGGCGAAAATTAAACTGTCATTGGACCCGCAACGAAATTAATCAGAACTTAGGGTTCGACTTCCCTCCATTGCAAAGCCGATGACAGGCGACAAACAAAGGGTTTAACGTGAGCAAACAAACCTGTCGTAATTCTCGAAGCAGCTGTACCGCCACAGCGCGAGAGCCAGCACCACCACGCAGACCAGGAGCCCGAAGCCGGCCACCAGCCACGCCGTCAGCACGCCGCTGTCGTTCGGAGGCAGGAACTCCTGGAAGATGAAAAGCATCGGCATTTAGGATACAATCTTCTCCTTAAAAAAAAATAGAAGACGTCGACTGCTGGACAAAAGTCTCCTCTTAAGGATTCTCATTCTCCTCTTTTTCCTTTTTGTTCCAAGAAATCTTCTACAGCTGGATCAAGGCGAAGCCTCAAGGATTTCTACAATAATCTAATGTAGAAATTAGATACGGAACTAAGTGCTTCCCGCGGTAACTTTCACCGTGTCGTCACTTATTCTTCTCAGTCAAAATATAAAGGTTGAAGTATTTCACTCCAGATTGAAGTCAAAACTTTCTTTTTTTGTTTTCATCTATGAAGAAAACTTTAAGACAAAACTTTGTACCAGCGATCGAGACGATCGAAAAGTCCCATATAAGAAGCGCCTGCATAAGAAGACAGTCTAAATTGTCTTCTAGTTGAAATTATGACATTGCAAAAGAAGATATTAAATAGGGTACGAACTTAAAAAGATATCGAAAATGTCCTAAAATGGCTACGAGAAAAGATGGTCGATATGACCTTTGCTTGACTTGATATGTCAAGTCAGGCTTGATAAGGACAGTTCTTTGAATTGACTACACATTTTTGCTACAAAGTTGTCACCTTATAGTAGAAAATCTCACTAACCTCCATGCCCATCGCGCTGAGCCTCAAAGCGAAGGGATCCTGCGTGCTGTACAGGTACCACATGGCCCGTAACTCGGCCTGGGTCAGCCGTGGCTCGCGATCATCCTCATACACCAGAGGCACCCCGAAGGTGACTTCGGAACAGCGGGCTGCGTTGGGCCAGTTCAGGTTGCAAACGCCGATGTTAGTGATTTGCGTCACGTCGCGACTGGAAGAGAATTAATGACATTATTAGCTACATCATTAGAAATTAGAAACTGGTGTGAAGCAGCGCTTGTGCTGTGATTCGCCGAGTTAGTGAGGGTACCGGAGGCCCAATCGGAGGAAAGGGAGTTAAAAGGTTGGCAGCGTACTTGTGACTCCACTGATGTTGCGGGTGTAAATATCATCAACAACATCGTCATTAACAACATCAACATCGCCGTCATTATCATCATCAGGTCATGGAGTCTCTAATATAGGAGGCTGACCCTCTCTATCTCTAATTTACCATATGAATCGTCGTCATCAGATCATTGAGTCTCCAGCTCTACTGCAGGTGAATGACGCCCTCTTATTGTCAGATGAAGGATTTGGCTTACGCATTGCAAGATGATTGCCTAATTCTTGAAATCCTTGATTCTTAAATTTTGAAACATTAACAGTCCCTATTTACTGTGTCTCTACCTAATCACATTTTTAAAGTCTCGAAATCCTAATTTCAAAAACAATATAAAGCGTTGTTTCAAAGTACATTTACAACATATTATTTATTTATTTTATTCCCCTTTATCAGCAACCACAAAATGTTTCCACTTATTATGCATTCAGATCATGAGTCACTTGGCATTTATAAACATAGAATTGTCACTATGGAACGAGTAAATAGTCACTATAGAACGAGTAGGTAGGTACAAGATGTATTGAGGAAAACCCTAAGCCCTAAATCAGAACTGTGCTGTAACTAAGTAATCTTGCTTCAATTTAAATTTATTTGATTAAAACTTTAGCTTTATAATATGCTCACTTGTGGCCTCGTCAGCTACTAAGCTTAAATTAGATTTATTTAATAATCGCTGCAGTAAAAACTACAAAAATAAAAATCAATAAGTTTAAGTCAATAGGAAGACCTCAAAAATATTTAAATTTAAAATTAAACAACAGTTATTATTGTCTGTGATTACTAATAGAACTTGTTTGTTATGCCATTATAAAAGTAAATAAATGTATTGTAATTAATTAATTAATGTAATTACATTAAAACAATTGGTACTGACAGATAATGGACTATGTTAATAGAAGTTAACTACCTACATACATGACGTACAACTTAACTGCGCGCAGTTAAGTTTTTTGAAGAAGAAATATACACGTGATATTTTAATAGACCAGATAATTGCTGTTTAAGTCAAGGATCAAATATGAAAGTCAAGTTGAATATCTTTATCTTTAAAAACTTTTAAAATAACGTATTGCTTTTAAAATGACTCATTAAAGAAACAACCTATTTGTTTGCATTTTACGATCTAGACTGTTTATCGTTAAACGGATATTGAATCTATTTCTATTATAGAAATAGACCCATCATTTTTCAAGGCTATGAAAATCTATCCTACTAATATTAAAGTTTGGATGTCTGGATGTTTGCTACTCTTTCACTCAAAAACTACTGAACGGATTTCGATGAAAATTTGCAATATTATCGTTTATAACTCAGAATAACATATAGGTTAGGTATAATTTATGACGATCTGTGACAAACTAAATTTCACACGGGTGATGCCGCGGGCAAAAGCTAGTATTTAATATGAGGGACACATTGAACTACGCAGTAAAAACGGCTAGCACAGAAAATATCTTACAATGACCGTAGCCCATCATCATCATCAATTCAGCCACAGGACTTCCACTGCTGAACATAGGCCTCCCCCAATATTTTTTCATATTGGACGGCAAAGTTGCCCATAATATTGCTACTTAAGGTTGCACTATCTTACTTCAACCTTAACAAATCTCAACAGTCTGTCAAACTCCATACAAAAAACACCGGTTATGGTTAAAGTCGCGGTTAAAACAAGAAAGACAAGCATTATTTGCTTGATCCTATAACTTTCTTTATCAAATCCCACGTCAAAACAACAGCTTTGTTTAGTGCGAGCCGACTGCTACACTATTTGTATCTGTATCAAGCCGTCTGTCAGCCATTGTGGCGCTGAGAGCTCTCATCTGGTTCGTTAGCACCCGGCTTTGTGATTGTGGAAAGGTAGACTGTTGTGAAGGGAAATAGAATAAAGTGTATCTTTTCTATAATCCGCGAGAAGTTGACATCACTAGTCAATAGCTTAAGGTTCGGTCAAACCAGCGCGATCACACGCGATCAGCCGGCGTGCAGCGATGGCGATCAGACTAAGGGTTCAGTCAAACCAACGCGATCACACGCGATCAGCCGGGGTGCAGCGATGGCGATCAGACTTAAAAGCATTGATCGCCATTGCTGCACGCCGGCTGATCGCGTGTGATCGCGTTGGTTTGGCTGAACCTTAAAATGCATTGATCGCCATCGCTGCACGCCGGCTGATCGCGTGTGATCGCGTTGGTTTGACTGAACCTTTACACATAGATTCTAAATGGCAAAGGAAGCCTATGATTTGTAGTCGTCTATTTATCGTTTAATTTATTTATTGATTTTGGATCAAGACACTGAAATCGGATTGATAGCAAAAAAGTAATTCCGTGTAAAAATGTCCGTCAAAAAGTACAATGTTAGTGTTTTTTAAGTGTTATTGATTACCAAGATTGTCATTGGAGTAGACTATGCTATGCGTCTTCTTAACAGCTCTATCGTCCTTCAGTTTCATGGCACATCAGTTTTATTACTCCATAATAATTGCATTACGGGAAATGAGATTCGTATTTATGTTAATCTGAACGTTTCACCGAAAATTTGAGTTGAAATGTTTTTCAACCCAAAATGAATGTCATTTTTCATACAAATCGTATGCACGAATGCGAATTCGTCACGTTCAATTAACTCATTCTGAAACAATAAGTATTAATTCGCTTTGAAGATTTTTTTCAGTCACGTTGTTAACATATTGGCATTTTTATTTAAATAAATAAATGTCTTTGGACTTTATACACTGCGCCATAGTATATTTTATGCAGTATAGGTTATTGTCCGTGACTCCCACTCGGCATGGGCACACTGAAAACCAGGGTCGTGGCCTTCCTCACCGTGAGCCACGGCATATGCATGAGTGCTTAATGGGTCCCATTGCGATGGGCAGCGCTGTGCGACAGGGTGGCACTGCTCAGTTTACTTTCTCTTCCATTGTAAGTTTTATGTGTCACCTCTGTCTTATTTGCTTTTTTTTATTTATCTCTTTTGTCTTTTGTGATGTCCATGGCAATAAATGTTTCTTCCTTTCTTTCCATTCAGTGCTAAATTAAGCAATGTTGGTACGATGGGTACTAGAAAAACTGATAAACTTGGTAGGTATACGCTTTTTTTTTAAATTTTAAACCGAATTGCTAGAAAATTTACTTATACTTCGTAAATTCTTAACTTCTTTAACGATCTAGAGTTTTCCAGAAGTTAGCCGGAGCTTAGTTTATGCAAAACCGCTGGGTGTCTGCCAAGAGCCCGCATTAGCGTTACTGCTTTGCGGTAAGTAAATTATGATTAGATCTAAACGAATACCGGCTTAGATGGATCTGCAGTCTGCATTGGACGAAATTTTGCATTAATCAAACATTTTTGAAGACTGGAACCCACAGCTTTTTATGGTAGAGATCTAAGCATTTTCCTATGTAAGTTAAAATTTTCATGAGTAAAAAATCATATTTTGATTGAACTAAAAGCATTTAGATTTACGTAACTTCAGGAAGGTAATACTAAAAAACTAACCATACAGCTTAGTGTCAAAATAAACTTAGGTTGTAATGACACGTGACATAAAATATAGTCAATCTACATCTTATATATATAAGAAAGTCGTGTTAGTTACTTCGCTTATAACTCAAGAACGGCTGAACCGATTTAGCTGAAAATTGTCAGGGAGGTAGTTTAGAGCCAGGAGAAGGACATAGGATACTTTTTATCCCGTTCGAAATTTAAAAAAAAGTCTGCTTATTTATTGCCATTAAGGCGGAACAAAGTTCGCCGGGTCAGCTAGTTTTCTATAATTAGTCGATCAAAAAAAGTAAAAATGATATTTTAATTAACGTTTCAAAACAAATCTTGAATATACCTACTTAATAATAATTTCACTTACCGCAGATATGATGCTGCGAATAGTCTTCTAAATGTAGCTTTTATAACTATTTAATTTAAGACACAAATTTATTCTATTTGAGACGGATTTTGAGACTATGTTTACTAGTTATTTGGAAAAAACGCGTAATATTTTAGAACATTTATCTACAACAACTTTGCTTATTCATAAGAACAAAACGATAGCTCGAGTTTTACATTAAAATCTCTTGTATTTTGATACATTTCTTCATCATTATCTAACTTCTCCAGTCTTTTGTCCTATTTACAACATTTCAATTTGCGATATGTTTCTTTTCCCTCTGGCACGCCATCTGGTTTGATGCCAAAGTCTTCGTATAAGAAAGTGCATTGAAAAAAATCGTATCTCCCAACCTCATACAAGCTTTTCCTCAGTAAACTTCACTGGCTTCTTCAACACCTCAATCGTATTGTCCGCTTTAACCACACAGTTAGACTTAACTACTGTTTCATTGTTGTTAAAGTTATCTTTGTCTTTCTTATCAGTCACGACAGGTTTAATTTCATCATCATTATCCTCATTGTTATTGTCAGTCTGAGATTCTTTAGGAAGATTCAAATCAGATTTCTTAGGAGCTGCAGAAGATTTGCTTGTCTCACTGCAGTTCTTAGAGATCTGTGGATAGTGATGCAGAATAGCAGTAGTATTAAAAGTTATCTTCCCATACTTAACAAATTCTGTAGGCCGCTTCGTTTTATCCTTACTAGTACTCGGGCCGGCTTCTACGTCTACATTACTATGACTACTTTTTCTAACAGGTTCCGATGGGCTTTCAATTGAAATGCCATCGTAAATATCTTTAGTATCCTCTAACAGATCCAATGCTACTCTTTTACTCTTTCTTAGGTTTTCCATATACGTGTTGTAAAAGTTCATATCTACAGTGTTGCTTTGTTTAAGTGGCAAGGAGTTTGGCAATTTCTTTAGAGGTCTTTCCTCGGCTGTGTATCACAATTGTTTGTTGGCTGGTGGGTTCTTATGGGCTGTCGTTTCGATCTTAGCCGCGCAGTTGTCGCGCGCGGCGCCTGTTAGCTATGTCTGGGACTGCACCATCGACACGCTCGTCGTCTCAGTGACGATGGTGGGCGCCGGGAAGTCCTCCCCAGTGGAGTCGTAAATGGGGAACTCGCAACACATCACGCACTTCAAAAACCTCGGCACCTCCACGTATATAGCCGGCGGAATCGGAATCAAAGGTGACGTGGACGCCTTATAATAAAGATAATCTGGGTTATCTCTGTATTTTTCGTCCGCCGATCGTTCCAGCAAAGGTATGCCAGATAAGAACAATATGATAGCCGTCGTAAATAAAGGCGACATTATTGCTACCCATTCGACGCCTTCGATAACGTTTAAAGATAGTATAAAAATTCCCCACCACAGTACGACTTCGCCGAAGTAATTCGGGTGTCTTGACAATCCCCAGAGCCCGTCATTGCACCATTTGCCTTGATTCGCTGGTTCCTGTCTGAATGCGAACTTCTGGAGGTCCGCGTATGTTTCTATCAGCAAGCCAATGACAAAGACTCCTGCGCCAGCTGAATCTAAAGTAGTCATAGTTTTGGGCGACTTGGGGAACGAGTGGTGCGGAGAATTGATTATGATGACAGGCAGACTGACTACGTACACCCATATGGCTTGAAACGTATAGAAAACAGCGAATCTCAATGTATTGCTTTTGCGATCTTCGAACTGCTTATCTCTGCCTATGTGGTAGATTCTGTAAATTAGGTACCCGGACAATCGCAAGCCCCAGACACAGACGAAAGCTGTCACCATGAGCTGCCTGCTGTCGTAGCTCTTCAGGTGGCTGCCTCCTTGGCCGAGGAAGAAGGTGAGGAGAGCGATGATGATGAAGTTGGCGCCGCCAGTGAAGTCAGTCACTTTATCACTTTGGAACAGAGATGCTATAGTGAAGAACAGGATCTGCATAGCTACCGTCACCATCGCGCTGATGGCGAAGTTATTCCTATCTATTAAAGGCTCCATTTTTAAATTTGACACTAAATATTCGAGGATTTGGCATCAGGGAATACTGGTTGCATCGATTGTTTGCCGCATTGCCGCATTTCGTCTCGAACGCACAATTTTGTTACGCGTTTCACTTGTTTTGGTTTAAAGAATATCCCGAACCGAGTTATGTTTGGTAGCGCGTTAGTTTTGGTTGAGAAATGGTGATTTTTATATTGTTTTGTTGGGTGTGTAAACGTTGGAAGCGATCTGTGAGGCGCAGCACGTAAGCTTTACTGAAATAGACGTGACGTTTCGGGTGCGCATGTGCGAGTTGCGCGCATGCGTGTTGTGTTCGTATTAAAAGCTTCAGAGCTGCTTTTTATAATCCGCCGTAAAATACGCGAGCTTATGAGCACAGTGTGCATTGGATTTTATTGGGAGTCGCAGCGTTTTTTTATTTTGTTGCGTTGTTCCATCCAAAACGTCCAGATGTTTTTAGTAATTTTGTGCCCTGATGGTATGTAGGTCAAGTGAAAGAGACAGGCGATAAGTAGGACACCTGTTCCGATACAGTTTATCGGGGTACCGCATAGTGTTGTGAGTTGCGATTGGCGCAGGAATAACTTTGTTTTGATGAAATTATCTGAGCCATCGGTCAGGTCGCAGGGCGGGGGTCAGCGGATAGTTTGCAGAAAGCTGATTGCAGTACAATTCCGTTTAACTGTGAATCATCTCCATGATAAGACGAAACGGATTTAATAGAAATTGTCACATAATCAAATGAAAATCCTGTAAGACTTCATAGAATGATAATAATTAGCAACGACCGTTAAGATAAATAAGATCCAGTAACCGTAACTTTCACAGTAAATTTATACATTTTTATTCTTATTTATGTTTCTATTTAGCTCCGCAGTTAAATAATTACAACAATAACGTGATTATTATGTACCTACCATTGAGGGCGAACGAATAAATGAGTATTTATGCTCCTAATCAATTTATTATCAGAATGTTATCACGATAGTGAAAGATATTAGTGTTCAACTACTAAAGTCTGCATAAAGTTAACAAACAACCGTTATTGAATTAAATGTTTTCTGTATTTTTACATATTGGTGGCTACAACTTTTCATAAGACGCGCAATCGTGGTGCACTAGAGTTTTATTTACAACTCTTATTTTTAAAACTATTCTTAAAGCTGTTAGAGACGCCAGTTCGTAGAAATCTTATATGAAAATGTTTTTCGTATCTTGGCATAATTATGCTATTTTAGAAGATTCCAATATATACTACAAAATCATCAGAAACACAGATGTGACATGACATGAACTTGTTTTTAATTTAAACGAAAACCCTTTCGTCATTCGTAAATTTATTTACGATATGGAAACGGTAATTTGCAGCAAAAGCTGTGACAAATAACGATAAATTATTCCAAGAGGATAATGATAAGCGGTTTGCTTATCTGTTTTAAATACTAAATTGTTACTTCGAATACCTAAAACATAATATTAGTGTACTTAGTGTCATTTTGTTGCAAGTGACGTGGCATGTTCACTTTCCTTCCTTCACACACATTTCCTTCCTTTTTAAGTGATAGGTAATTAGCATACGAGTACCTACGCATATTATTCGCACTATACATATGTTGTTTGTTTTCCTAACAATAAAAAAGTAACGCTTGAGAAAAAGGAGAGATTGAATAAGGGTATGGTCATAAAGACTAGGTTGCACCATTTTACTTCAACTTTAACAAACTTCAAAAATCTGACGTCAAATTTTGAAAATGAACCTAGCCTAAGGAAATGGCACCTTAAATTTTTTCTGCGCCCAATATCTAGAATGTTCATAGTCAAATAAAAAGAAAAAGTTCCACTTACGTAGAATTTAGTCCCTGCTCGATGCCGTTAGAGTTGATGTACATTATGGCCATTTCAGCGATGATGGTGCGGAAGGCCTCTTCGGACTCTTTGAACTCGGGCAGGGTCAAGCCTCCGATGAGGATCGTGAAGGTTTCAGCTGGTTCCGGTACCAACGATTCTGGTTCGGGGACAGGTTGTAACGAGTCCTCTTCGGGAGGCACTGGAAGAAACGATTTAGAGGGCGTGAAAGGGATAGGGAAAGTCTGAATTGGTTGTTTACTTCATTTGCTATATTAGCATCAGGATATTAATTAGTTTTATAGCTGCAGGAGCAGGATCCTCTCTATTTACTAGAGGCAAATGAAGAATTGGGCCTACACTAACTATTGGTCCCAAATTCCCAATGTCATTAAATGCGTGATTTTAATTGCGCTACTTTATTTTTCACCTGGTTTTACTGATTATCATGTTTATGACAATGAGTCATTCGATATCGATAGTGTTCGCTTTGTATTTCAAATAATGCATATTATTAGAAGATATCTTAAGAGAGTTGAAATCCTTGAATAATGTACTTAGTTGTACATTGTTACTCATAGATTTCGTTGAAAAAATGTTATCAGTGACTATGGCGCACGAAACTGTAAAGAATTGTAGGATATTCAACTTTAAAGAGGTAAAAACAGTGACATCAAGATAGACATAGCATCTTAGTCTCTTGTAACAGGTGTTATTATGTATCTAATTATCTATATCACACTGTTCGTGAGGAAATAGTACAGGCAAGCCTGAAATACCAGAAGAAACTGGAAACTCACGCAGACGAACTCGCACAGGCCTTAAGTGGAGAAGGTGGACTACAGTACAATCGACTGAAAAGACAAGGCATTCCCAGTCTCGCCCAAAGATTTGTAGACTGAGCCAGGAAGAGAGTTTGCTGGAAAAAGATCAGCAATTGATTGGCTCTCGAAGACAACATAAAACTCAGGACATGTAGCTCCAGCCAAACAAGTGGCTAATTTTTTTCGAACAGATTGCCATAGGGCAGAAAATACCTACATACAAATATCTAAAAGTGAATCATAGATAAAAACAAGATTAATAATAAGAGATTCTTTCAAATACTCACCAACCATCCTGACGCTGAACTGGAAACCTCTCCTGAAGGAGAAGCCTTGATGGGCCACGAACCTGACGAACATCTGGTCCACGTCCAGGAACCGGTAGCGACGAGGTTCGTTGAGCATGTGCGAGAACACCAGGCCTTCTTCACCCGATGCATCGAGACCACCTAAGAAATATTTATGATTTGGATCAAAAAGTACACTGCTGAACAGGAATACATTTAGCGTCTTTCTGCAACCTTTATGCGGTCCACTCTCTAGGTGTGCGTTCCACGCTCCCTTGAGCTCAGTGACTTATTATTTGTTTATAATGTCATCCGCTTTGCACTAGAGAGAAGTCGATCTTTAAATTCGAAACCAGTTCCAGTACCAGAATCATATCGATTATTTTCTCAGTCTGTTTTTTTTAAATTTTACAGAAACTCAAGCTTATTTTAACAAGTAAAAACAACAACATTGCTATTTTCATTCATAACAGTTACCTATTTGTTAATAAATTAGTAAAAATTCTTACCTGGCTTGAACAGAACGTAGTCACCAATAACACCATTTACGAAGAAGTCAGTGATGTTCAGTTCTATGCCTCTCCCTTCGCCGGTGAATATCCAGTCCACAATGTTGTTGGTTGGGTACGGATTCGGGTAGTTTGGTGACGTCACCACCAGAGGTTCCTGCGTCAGAGTCATGCGTATCGGCGTCTCTCCGTCGTCAATATTATTAAGGCTCAATTCGTCGGCATGCGCTTTAACGTACTCCACCATCAGCTGGTCATATTGCTCGGCGTTAAGGCTGCTGACGTCAATAGGTGTGACAGTTTCTGAAGCGATAATTTCACCATCTATGTCTTCGTTTGATGCAGGTGAAGTTTTTGTCTGTATATTTTCATTGATAGTATCAGGTGGTTGTTTACTGTCACGAACAATTGTCTCTACATTTTCATTGATAGTTTTACTTTCAGAAACAACAGCATTAAGATTTACGTCATCGGCAGCATCAGAGTTATTTACATCGAGTATGCCATCGTCGCCGGTTTCTATCAATTTTTCTTCCATGTCTACTGCTTCATCATCGTCATCCTCATCTTCATCATCATCATCTTCTTCTGACGTGGCGTCATCAGCCTCTGGATCGTCTTTAAACAGACCGTCATCATCGTCATAATTTTGGATTTCTTCTTCATTTTTAATATCCATAGTTTTTTCACCGTCATTTTCAATATCCTTGCTATTTTTGTTTTCTACTTTTTCTACTTCTGTGTCTTTTTCATCTTCTTCATTGACGGCATCATCGATTTCATCCGACATTTTCTCTTCATTATTAGCAGCATCGTAGTCTTCCCGGAGTGATAGTACGTATTTTTCTCCATAAGGTACTCCAAACTTTTCTTCGTATTCAGAAATCTGGTCTGGTTTTAAGTCATCATCTGCGTTTTTCTCCGGTTCGACGTAATCCGGATTTTCGTCATTCAGTTTCCTCCAAGTTTCCATTAGTTTCTCCAAATCCTCGTTCAGATCATCGTATACTTTGTCTACGGTATCCTCTGCAATTAAATCGCCCTGAGAAGACTCTAGGATATCTTTAGCTGCTTCTTCTGCGTATTTGTCGTTGGCTTCATCCTCACCGTTGTCATCTGCGGCGTTACCTTCGTCAAAGTTATCATCTGTTTCTTCAAGAATCTGCTTTGTTTCTTCAACAATGTCGTCCATGAAGTTTTGATCTTCGGGTTTGAAATAGGAAATATTATCTTCTTGTGAAACAACTTTTTCTTTGCTGATGTCAAGTTGGTCAACTGAGGCGTCATCATCAAGCTTATCAACTGCTTCATCTTCAGCAACTTGCATAGGCTCTTCTTTATTTTTGCTTGGGTTTATTTCTTCAGGTTCAGCTGATTTCACTTCTAGGTCTTCTGTACTTAAATTTGCTACATTTTCGGCAGAATTTACGGTCTCATCCGCACTAGGTTGTTCAATATCTTTCTCACTGTCTCCATTTTCATCACCGTCACCATTTTCTTCACTCTCATCGTTAAGTTCGTCCACATTTTGAGCAGATCGGTTATCTTCTATCTGGTAATCCGCTTCAAACTTCTCTTTGGCGTTGTCTTCAGGAAGATTATTGTCGTCTTTGGCTTCTGGTAGACTTAGGACATCGTCGTGGAGCTCAGGCCCGAAGTAATCGTACTGGTCGTAGTCTCTGTAGTCCAGTTGCTGGTAGCTGTCATCATCGTTTTGTTGCGCTGGAACAAAATTAAATAAATTATTAAATTTTCTACTCCACATACAGCTATGAATCATGAGTATTTAGCGCAGTGTTCTTTTTGTATTTTATAGTGAGATTGGCACCTGCCGTTGTCATGCTTAAAAATGTAAACTTAAATTATAGAAATAGATTATCCTGGGGGTTGTTCATCTGTTACAATAAAATAGATATTTTGTAGTAACTGAGAAGTAACTGAGGAAACTTGCGAATGCCCATAACATCTCACCCGCAAGTTTTCTCAGTTACTCCGTGACCATGGCGCTTGCATCAGTTCTGAAATATCGGAAACTCAAAATTAAGGTACATGGTAGCAATCCCGTCAGTAATAATAATTTCCAATAGTGTTTGTAACATTGTGCTTTTCCATAACTTATTTGGAAATCTATACTAAAACAAAGAAGAGAGAGATAATAATATTCAAACCGAGATATTTATTTTATTTTATTGATAAAGATCTATCAACAACACATCTTCTGATGATGATGATGAGATGATTCTTAATTTAGCTAGGAATCTATTTTATTTGCCGAAAAGAAAGAAGATTTCTCCTTCAAATGCACTTCTATCAGTTTCACTTCACGCCACGTTGGACCCGTTCCAAACACAATAAATTAACACGTTTACCTCATGACACTACTCTAAATATTATGTAATGTAAATGCAGACGAACCAAACAATAAACACTCAGTTAACAACAATTTAAGGATGGTTAAGCTTAGGACAGAATACTTATTCAAAAACAAGAAATTATTGTTAAAAGTAGCAGTTTTTAGGTAAGTATTTTATTTTATTTTATTTGTTTCACAATATTTCAACAGCATTCAATTGTCTACAGTCGATATTAATTCGTGAAAATATACAATGAACATTATTTACTTCCTATCTAAACCGTATGTAACGAAATTATTACGAATTACTCTCGCTTTTTCTTTGAAATATTACTTAAGTACTATAGCTTTAACCCGCGGCTTCACTCGCGTGATATTTAGATTGTCACATATCGTCATAAATTGTAGCCTATATGTTATTCTGGGTAATAACCAATCTTCTACTTCTTCTTCGTCACTACACTCTTGCCAGAGTGGTCGTGGTCGTCACACCCGGTCCGGTGGCAAGCCTCACATTCCGTCGCCATTCCTTCCGCACTGCAGCATTTCTTGTGGACCATTGAGTGCGGTTTTGACCAGCGTATGGGCGAACTGCCGCGCGCTCTTGTGCCTTCAACCGTCCCCTGCACGACAAGTCGTAAGTCGTCGTGTAATAACCAATAATACTGTATAAAGTTTCATCAAAATCCGTTTAGTAGTTTTTGCGTGAAAGAGTAACAAACATCCAGACATCCAAATTCAAACATTTTTTTGCCTACTTTGTTGCCTATTATTAAATTGTTTTTATCAAAACATTTCCTCGTACACAATCGCGCAATGTAAGTCGGTGAGTAACGCGGGCAGCGTCTTGTCAACGAGGAAAATAGTCCGAATTATGTTTTATTTTTGTGTGTTCAGCGAAATGCTTTGGTGCGATGTTTACTAGTTTTTTTGAGTGAGACTTTTGAGAATGTGTTTTGATGTTTTTCACTTAAGGATGATGCCAGGGTTTCTATGAAATCTAGTCCAATCTTCCAATATCTATGTGTAATTTTAGCTGAAAAAAAGTTACTATGGCGCCAAGTTCCATATCTTAGTCAAAGTCAAAGTCAAAATGTGTTTATTCGTTCAGAGTTATTCTGTATTAAACATAATAGGTAGTTTTACTTTACAAGATCCAAAACAATGTGAACTAATGTTTTATTTTTCCAAAAATGTTAAACAGATGTTAACGTTGACAAATGCTTTTTTATATGTATGTTTTACTAGCTGTACCCCGCGGTGTTACCCGTGTTATTTATGCCCATGTGTTAATCCAGGGTGTCAGCTAACTCCATACCAAATTTTATTAAAATCGCTCTAGCCGTTTAGACGTGAAGAAGTTACAAACATACACTCACAAACTTTCGCCCTTAATATTAGTGTGATTAGTGCTAATTATTATCCTGTTAGTACTTTTGCGATCTACATTAGGATCAATGCATTACATAGTTTCCTCTAGCTTGTGGCTATTGCCTATTGCCTACTTATTTTAGTTTGTAACCAATCTGTAACACGCCTAAGTACTCTATTGTTAGCGCAGGTGGCATGAGTTAAACCGAATACAGTCAACAGCAAATACTAGAAATGTTACGTTGCAATATCACACGTAATAATAGTGCAATAAGATGCTTTAGTTTGATGCTCCTTCTGTATTAATAGCACGGGGACGTGTTTGAAGAAACTTGAATATAATTGTGTGACTATGTTGAAATTTTGTGCAATCGCTATGAGTCAAACCTGCTACTCGGTGGAGTCAGTACTGGACTTTTGACCCGGAATGTTTGAATTAAAAGCATAATAAATTAACACTTATTTATTTTTGCAAATAGGATTTTTAAAAGCACTTTTACATGTCCCAGAATTAACCCTACCACTGCTTCGGGACATTAAATGGGCCAGTGTATAAATGTATAAGTTTGTAAAGTGTATAAATTCGTATAAATCGGTAACCTTTAATACCACTATTTATAATTAGACGTTGTTTGCTTTCTACTACAAATAAAATGCCCAATTTAAAATCATTGAAGTATTTTTTGCGTTAATATTATTATTTTGTAAAAAATCTTAACACAGAAGTAATTTGCATAAATAAATTAAAACGAATCTAACTGTACCTTTTAAGCTGATATCGGTCAAGCCGTTTAATCTACATAGTGTGCCAAAGAAATATACTCCTCCCTCCTTCTCGTGCAGTCGAGTAAAACAGTAGGTAGGTATTACAATTGTGTAATATTTGTTGAAGTTCTGGAATTTCACAAAGTATAGAGATACAATTAGTTATTAGTTTATAATTGTGTTTATAATAAGATCCCCTTGCAAACTGCATTTGTTAATTAGTTTATTATGCAATGTTTCCTTTTATATTTATGGCTACGACTCTAATTGGTTGATGCTGTATTTTCCTTAACCTATTTAAATTAATATATGGACGGTCATTAAACCATGTCAAACGCCTTTGGTGGACCGACGACATTATAAAGGTAGCAGCACAGAATACATAATAATTTAATAGCGTAGTAAGAAGGCGCTGGACGCAGGCCGCTACCAACCGGGCAACATGGAAAGCATTGGGGGAGGCCTATGTTCAGCAGTGGACGTCCTATGGCTGTGATGATGATGATAATGATGAAACGTCTTTGGTGGCTTGTAGTCTGACAGTTCGATAAACTATCTCAGTTGATGAAATCATAACGTTAGAAATAGAAAAGGAGAAAATACAGATTTTCTTTTTTCACAAACTTAAAGGGTAAAAATTAAAGATGGAGGAATGTACTGACTGATGATGACTATGTTTTTGGATAAAAAAAAACAATATATTTAAAACTTACCATAATTACTGATCATCAATTACCATCAGGTGAGATACAGGTCAAGAACTTCCTCGTTGTGGATAAAAAAAAAACTTAAGTAAACTTCGGTTATTTGTTAAAGTTAGAACTAGCAGCGAATGGTTGAAATTTTAAAAGAAGTGTCTATTGTAATCGCTAGAGTATTTATTGCAAAAATAAAAGATTATTAAATAATAGTAAAATATAGCAAGGTATTGGGCGTGCTAGTTTTATACCTTACCTACACGTAGTAAGTACCTACATACATACCTACGAATATCTGTGCTTATTCAATTTTCTCTTTTGCACATAGATGCAATAAACATTGTTCAAATAAAACATAAGTCACAGTTGGTTTTCTTAACGTATCGCGAAAACGGAGCACACAACAATGCATTTAATAAATTAATTAAACAAAAACATTTGAAGCTATTGTTCGAATGTTGGGAAAACCTGTAACGCTAATTCGTCAACTATAATGTGTTTGTAAAATAAATAGAGCAAATTATGCTGTTGTTTTGTTGTATTTATTCAGATACTACTAGCCTTTACCCGCGGCTTCGTCCGAGTCAATAGATATGTCTGTTATAGATCGCCCGCGACTACTTCAATAACCGTGGTGGAAACTATTCAAATCAAATCAAAAACATTTATTGAATTTTGATCAGTATTTTGGCACTAATTAACGTCATAGTCGGCCGTTTGGTGTAGTGGATCGGAAACGGACTACTATGCCGAGAGGTCCCGGGTACGATTCCCGGCCGGGCAGAAATTGAAATTATGAATTTTAATTTCTGTGACGGGTCTGGGGGTTACTATGTATAAAATATGTTTGTATTTACAAAAAAAAAAGTATTTAAGTTTGTTTATATCCGTTGTCTAGTACCCATAAATAAATCTTTAGACAATAAATAAATCTTTAGACAATTTCACACATCGCCAGCTAGCCCCAAAGTAAGCAACTTAATGCTTGTGTTATGGGTGCTAGCTTAACGGATATGCTACTTATATACTTATAGTAACACCCAGACCCGTCACAGAAATTAAAATTCATCATTTCAATTTCTGCCCGGCCGGGAATCGAACCCGGGACCTCTTGGCATAGTAGCACGTTTTGAACCACTACACCAAACGGCCGACATAGTACAAGCTTTGCTTAGTTTGGGACTAAATGCGTAGTATAAATTGTCCAAGGATATTTATTTATTATTATTTATTTATTATAAAAATGGTAGCCCTCAAGGGGCACATAACATGTCTCCTTATCTTTTGAGCCCTACCAGTGCTTCGAGACAAACATATTATATGTGTTTCTTCCTGCCAAATCATATACCTTCCTATTCCTGTTGTTTATACATGGTGCGGGCGGCGTTCACTTTCTTAACCTGATCGCTGACCGCAGAACGCAAACAGTGTGAGAGATCCTTAGTAAGGGTGGATTCGACCAAACAAGAGTAGTAAATCGATCTTAGATTAAATCGTCAGTTTTGATATATTTCCCATACTGAAACTGTCAATGT